TTTGAGAAATCAAATTAAAAGAACTATTGTGAAATTAAGAGAGCAAGATACACTACGTTTAGCTAAGTTGATTAAAACAAATTCAAAGGTTTTCTGGCAACAGATTAACAAATCAAGAAAATATAAAATTAATTTGGACGATTTAATTGATGATAAAAAGACCATTATAATGGATGACCATTTTAAAGTTGAGAATTTTGCTAACTTTTTAAAAAATGTTTATGTTCAGGATAGCGGGTTGCATAATCAAGACAAAATAAATTTAACAGAATACAATAATCATGCTATGATTTTCTCTATGATCATAAAATTGACATCGTTGTTTGATTGCTTTTTGTTGTCTTTTAGTGCTATTTTGATATGGGCATATATAACTTACGTTAAGCCCATTATATATATATATATATATATATATATATATATATATATATATATATGCAATAAAATGGAATAAAGTTTACGAATATTTTTCCGCTGTTTAGAAGTCACAGAAAGATAAATGATCAGTCGGTGGAAGTGTCAACAACAGATTCCGAAAAGCAAACAACATCTACAGCTTTTAAGATTTTTCTACATTCTACCAGACACGGAAGTACCTAAATTACTAAACAAAGAACTATAGGATAAAAGCCCATTTATTTATGAATGGGTTTTTAAAACCTCAATTGAGGAAACCACAAAAACTACTCATGGATGACAAAAATGGATTGGCGGCTGTTGACCCTGATGAATTCACTATTATGTTTGATACTACCTCGTCTATGTATTATACTGTTGATACTATTCCTGTTGACTTTGGTTTGAGTGTTAATAACAATTTTTTTTATTTTACATTTCAATGCTCGTAGTTTATTACCAAAACTTAATGATTTAAAATGTCTCCTTAGAAACATTAATAATCTGAAGGTAATCTCCATTAGTAAAACCTGGTTGGATGATAAGACTTCTAACATGGTTAGTTTAGATGATTTTAACTTTATATGTGGTAATTGAAGACCGAGGGGTGGTGGTGGTGTAGGTGTTTACTTAGGGAAGGATGTTGTTTATACAATTTTTACAGATTTGTGTGCAGTAAGTGATGTATTTGATTGGTTAGCTATAGATATTAGTAATATTGCAGGTAAAGGATCTGACATTATTTTGTTCCATCTATCGTACACCTAATACTAATTACAATTTTTTTATTCAACAACTAGAAGAATTGTTTATAAAATTGAAACATAGGCATAAAACTAAAATTATATATCAGGTGATTTTAACATTGATATGGCTAAAGATGACTGCTACAAAATTGGTTTTTCTTTTCGCAATTTTTTACAATCATTTTCGTTAGTGCCGTTAATTAATTCACCTACACGTATAACTAAAAATACTTCGACGTTGTTGGATAACATTTTAACTAATAATATTGTCAATGATACTTCAGGCATCCTATATGTTGATATTTCTGACCATTTACCTGTTTTCACTGTTTGCAATAATATTAGTTTCATAAATAACTCGGATAATTATTGTGCTGGTGTTGTATCAAATAAAAATTTAGCTCGTCTGAACTCCGTTTTATCTAATTTTGACTGGAGTTGTTTAAATCAAGTTACCGATTTAAACAAATATACTTTATCATTTATTAATTTTTTTACTGATTTCATTAACAAAACATGTCCCATCCGCAAAATGAGATCTTGTAAAATCAAAAATCCGTGGCTAACAAAGGGTATCCTTAAATCATTCAAAGCTAAATCTTAATTATATAAATTGTATATTAAAAATCCTTCTGAACTTAATTTTAAAATTTATAAAAAATATCGTAATAAATTAAATAAATTTAAATTAGTTATTATTTCTGAAAAAATTACTATAACAATATGTTTGAAAAAAATAACAATACAAAAGTAATTTGACAATATATTAATAAATTAATTAGATCCCGACCTAATAATCCTATCAGTGAAATAAATGTAGATGGTTTGATAATAGATAATCTGAAGAATATATGTGAAGCTTCCAATAATTATTTTACCTCTATTAATAAACACAATGATGGTTCTCAAAGTAATATTTTTTTGGACAATATTTCCTCAAATTTTACCGTAAACTCTTTTTATTTGGATTTAGTTGATAATGATGAAATTTTCAGACATGTCAATGATTTGAAGTGTTCTCATTCATCAAGCCATGATGGTGTTTCTTCTTTTTTCATCAAAAATAAACAATATATAAAATTATTGATCCACTTAGTCATATTATTAATCAATCATTTGCCACCGGTATGTTTCCTGATCTTTTCAAGATTGCTAAAGTTATTCCCTTACATAAAAATGGTCCCACTAATCAGCTGTCCAATTATCGACCAATTTCAATTCTACCATCTTTGTCAAAAATGTTTTGATTAAATTTGGTGTCCCGCAAGGCTCAGTTTTGGGGCCTTTGTTATTTTTAATTTTTATAAATTAATTATCCACTGTCAGTAAATCACTTGAAAGTATATTGTTTGCTGGTGATACCACTATTTTATGTTCTGGGAAAGACATTAATACTGTGATCAATACATTTAACACTGAAATGGAAAAAATATGCAGTTGGTTTAAATAAAATGACTTAAATTTAAATTATAAAAAACAAACTATATGATTTTTGGTTCTAAGATTGTTACTAATAATTTAGGGATTTCTATTAAAATTGATAATAACAGTATTGAAAGAGTGTATACAAATAAATTTTTAGGTTTTGTAATTACAGACAATTGTCATGGTTAAATAATATAATGAATATATCTAGTAAAATTTCTAAAATTATTGGTATCATTCGTAAATTGAGCTTCAAGCTTAGTTTTGATGTCACTAAAAAATTATATTACAGTTTAATTTATCCGTATTTAACATAGGGCGTAATATTATAGGGTAATAGTTGCACGACCCATCTTAATTCTTTCTGATTGGCCTATAATAGTTTTGTTAGATGTCTTTTTTTTCTTGAAAAAGTATGACCATATCTCAAGTTTTTACCAAGAAGCTAATCTATTAACAATTAAACAAATATATAATTTTGGTCTGTTAAAATTTATGTTTAAATTATATAAAAATTTATTGCCTCCTAATTTGTCCATTCATTTTAAAGCTCCTGATAAAAAGTTACGCGTTTTAAGACAAATGAATGATTCTGTTCAACCTTACCCTAGATTAGTAATTTATAAATTATCTGTTTTCTCCTCCGGGGTTTTACTTTGGAATAGATTACCTTCAGAGTTCAAATTATTAAATAGCATTTCTGCTTTTTCTAATAAAATATTATTATATGTTTCCAAATAATCTTTGTTATTTCAAATTTAATATGCTGATATAATATAATTGAACATTTTTGAGTTTATTGCTGTTGGTTTTTGAATGTATGTCATGAATGTATGTTGATATTTATTCTTGGACTTAGTTTGAATTCAATTTGTTGTTTATTCATGCAAAATCATATGATTGAACATTTTAATTTTATTGTTTTTATTTTTTGAATGCATGTTATGTTGTATGATCTTAAACATTATAGATAACACTACAAGGATCAAATTTTAGTTTCATTATCATTTTGTTTTACGAACGTTTACTTTATGTGCAGTGTGCTATGCTTTTGTGTAAACAGTTGTACGAACAAATTATGTTATATGCGCTTGATAACTTTTGAAATTGTTTCTGTTTTTTCTTTTTGATGGCCTATAAAGCTTAATAAGCTTGTATGGTCTCCAAGCCATTTTTTTTGTGGTTAATAAACTGTGTAAATAAATGAAATAAATAAATGAAAATAAATAGATGCAATATTTAATAAAATCTACCAAATTTATAGCTTTTGAAAGTTTAGGATTGAGCTATTCTATATTTTTAACAGCAATTTTATTTATTATATATTTTATTGAAATTAATAAGAAAATCGTAAATGTGTAGTGTAGTGATATATAATATATATATATATATATGTATATATATATATGTGTGTGTGTGTGTGTGTGTGTGTGTGTGTGTGTGTGTGTGTGTGTGTGTGTGTGTGTGTGTGTGTGTGTGTGTGTGTGTGTATATAATTAACCTGAACTGAATCATTATTTTAAAGTTTTAAAATTTAAACTAAATAGTTTGTTGGCCTAACCTTTACATTAAGTTGAAATATAATTTATATTTAAATAAAAAAACATTTTAAGTACAGAAGGAGTTTCTCTACAAATGACAAATTACTTTTTAATCGTCAGTTTTTTATTATTAATAAATTTTTGTTATGTTTTAAAGTGAAAATGTTGTCAATATATACTTAAAAGTATGACCACACCACACCAACATCGTGCCCAACGTTCAACATCCATCATTTTAAATTAAAAGTACGTATTTCGATTTATTTCATTTCTCTAGCATCTTTCTGGCGCTGTGACTGATTTCTGATCGTTTAATATTTTAAAAGTTTACTTAAATGAGAACTTGGTGCCGATAAGAAAAATTTATGCAAACAAATAAAATTTTCAAAAATTTATATTTTGTTCAAAAATTATAAATATTACATCTATATTACTGTTAATTTTTATAGCTTTTAATAATAAATTTACAATTGAATTTAACAATCAAAGGAGGACACGCAGGCAACGTAAAGTTGAGAGTTGATCATTGTCCATATAACTACAGCTGATACGATTTCTTAGACCTCTTCGTGCATTTAAAAATATCTGTTAACATTTTAAAAATTTTACTTAAAATTATAATAATTTTACCTCAATTTGCAAATTTATGGTTATATGACTCCTTGAAAAGTTTAGGTAATAAAATACAAGTAAGGCATAGGCAGATTTAACATATTAGCCAGGTACAAGTGGTTTTATTAATTATTTTTGTCATTGCAAGCGATTTTTGATTAATTTGAAGAGGTTATTATTTATGTACTGTAATGTTTGAATGGTTCTGCAGAATCTTCTTTTTGGTTAATAAAGTTAAAAAAATTTATCATCAATTAAATAAAATAAAGCAAATAAAGTTTTAGAAACTTTTAATAGAGACGTTGTTGCGCATTTCTTCGACAGTATCGTACAGGGGCATTCCTTTGGTTTCTGGCAGTAACAAGCAGATAGTTGAAGAGATAACAGACAAAGAAGCAAAAACAAACGGTGGGATGATAGGATTCATCAGTTGCCCCTGTTGAACATTGTAATTAATCTTTACGAACTTCTTCAGATCGTGCGGTCATTCGTAAATGATTGTCTCAAGATTTTCAAGTATGTAGAATTTGATTGAAGTAAAATGTTCAAGTGTTATTTGTCTCGGAAAAATGCTAATGCATTTTTAAGATGTGCTAAGAGTTGATGAATGAAAACAAATTAAAAAATATTGCTTATGTATTTATGAAATCTCTTGAGACATCTAACCAACAAATTAATTTGTGGAGACAATGCATTGCCCAAGTTTCCAAAGAGTGTACACGTTAGAAGACCTCGGCCTCTCAACATTGTTGGATAAAGTTCATTTGTAAAGCAAATTGCCATCGACCAGGAAGCAGTCACGCACATTTTGCCAATCAAAACCAACATGATGCGCGTCCATTGCAAATCTTTCAAAACGATATTATAATAATTTAAAATAATATTAATGTTTATATATATATATATATATATATATATATATATATATATATGAACATATATATATATATATATATATATATATCATTATAAATATATATATATCATTATATTTGCAATGTTCTATAAATTCTACCGAATGTTTGGCGTTAATATGTTTGTAGTTCGTCAGCATGAATTCGAAAAATAAGTTTATTTTGAATTTTAATAAACTAAACGTTCACCAAAAAACTTTAGTGAGAAAAATCGAAAAAACAAACTACAAACATATTAACGCCAAACATTCGGTAGAATTTATAGAATATTGTAAAAATTATGGTCTATTACCAACATATCATTATATATATATATCATTAGCTCAATTTCAAAAATGTCAGCATGGGTAAAAACGAAACATAAGGTTTGTTGACCTTTTTTTTCTATTATGAGCAGGATATATAAACAGATTCCGGCAAACATCATGACGCATGAAAGAGGTTTTTTTCGTCCCAAAAATGCAATGCTCAATTGTGCTATAATGTAACCGGGTAGTTCGACCGCCCCGGAAATGAAAAAATTCAAGTAAGGACTTTCGCTGAGTGTTGGCAGATACAATGAAATACCAAAGTAAACTAATGAGTTGGAAAACCTGGAAACGTTATTTTATTTAAATTACCAGCCAATTCATCAAAATAAAACCAAAAAATAATAAGAGCGTCGTTGAGATTTTTTGTCAAATATAATAAAAACTTACATTACCATAAAAAGTAAAGTATTGTAGTCATTCCACAGACCATGCACGATCTACAAAGGTCCAACACAGATCCTTCGTTTGAAACGTCATCCTAATAAAAAAATTAACTTTCAATTTTTACATATTTTTATAGAAGGGATTCGAATGTGGCATTTTATGTAAATTATTGTTTTAGATATATTTGTAACACAACTAAATTGAAAGTTTTAATTTGTATTTAAATATTCACAATACTGCAATATAATTATTATAAGATAATTTTTATTACAATTTAGTTTATTTCATTTTATTTTAGTATGACATTTTATAATTAAGGTAAACGTTTTAATTATTACATTAATTTCAATATTAATCGTTCAATGACTTATAAACTGTTTTTAGGCTCTGAGGATGGCACTTTTTGCCGAAACGGCCGTCAACAACTATTTCCAATTAAATGTATAGGTACTAAAAACTCAATTTGGTCGTGTTAAAAACGTATCTAAAAAGACGAATTACCATAAAATGGAGCGAGTTATTTAACAAAATACATTTAACGGAATATATATATATATATATGTTTATTTATTTATATTATTCAGCAAAGTTTATTAACGGGTATCGTATTCTTCATCTTTGTTGTTTTCATTCCAATTTTTAAAATTACTTAAAAGAACTTTGCATAGTTTAAAGAAACTATATAAATCAAGCATGCACTGAAGATGATTTATGGAAAATGGAAATAAGGCCATAATCTACATGATAAATTCGGATGACAACAGTTTCATTAAATTTTCATGATGAACTTGGATAATTCTATTTTCATCTAATTGAGCAATTTCTAGAAAATTCTAGTAAGGAAAATTGAAAAGTCAAACTTTAAATTGATTAATGGCAACAATTTGGTAGAATTCATACAATACTGTATAAAATATGGTCTTCTTCTAACATATACATATATATATATTTTTACAATATTCTATAAAAAAAAAATAAAAAAAAAAATTATGGTCTATTACTAACATTTACTATATATATATATATATATATTTCTTCCAGTCCCTCTTTCTCATCAGTACTTTTTTGATCAGTCTGTCGTCTGTCATTCTGCAGATGTGCCCAAAGATACCCAGCTTTTTTTCCTTGATACTTTCATACAGTTTTTTGTCTTCCAAGTTGTTTTCTTATGGCATCGTTTCTTATCTTTTGTCTCCAACTGATTCTCAGCAACTTTCTATAACAATGCATCTCGAATGCTTCCAGTTTGTCTTTGTCTCTTTTCTTCAACGTCCAAGCCTCACATGCATACATCAATGTAGAAAACACACACGCTTCTACGATCTTTAACTTTGTTTTTGTAGATACATTACCGTTCTTCAATATTACTTTCAAAGATGCAAACATTCCTCACGCGATTGCTATTCTTCTATCAATTTCTTTCAAACAATTATTGTCATCAGTTATGAGGCTGCCCAGATATATAAATTGGTTCACTTGTTCGAGCTTTTCTGCTCCTATCTGGAATTCATCATTGTTTCCACCTGCTTCCGAAATCATTATCTTTGTCTTACTGCTGTTGATGTGTAGTCCATGGTTTCTTCCACCATCGTACGTCAACTCGATCAGTTTCTGTAGACCCTCTGCACTAGATGCTAGCAGATCTATATCATCTGTAAACCTGAGGTCCCTTATCAATCTGCCTCCAATGTCGATTCCCTCAATATCTGCATTCTCCATTTTTTCCAAGGCTCTTTCCAACAGTGCTAAGAACAGTAATGGTGATATTGGATCTCCTTGTCTACTTCCTATGTTTGCTTTGATCCAGTCTCCCGGCTCTGTACCTACCTTTACCGCCATTGTTGACTCCTCATAAAGCCCTTTCAGCACCCTTACCATTTTTGTTGACACTCCCATACTTTCCAAAGTTGCCTACAAACCTTCGTGCCAGACTGAATCAAACGCCTTCTTAAAATCCACAAAACAATGAAAAGTTGTTTGACCTCTGCTTCCTGCATCTTCCAACAATAGTCTCAACATCAGGATTTGCTGAACTGTACTTCTGTCCTTTCTGAAACCTGCCTGCTCCTCTCCTAAATGCTGCTCTATGTCTTTCTCCAATCGTTCTTTCAAGATCGTCAGCATGATCTTGCACATATGAGGGATCAGTGCAATTGATCTGTAGTTGTTGCAGTCTTTCAGGTCTCCTTTTTTTGGCAACATGATCAAGATTGATTTACACCAATCTTCTGGCCATTTCCCACTGTCCCAGATTTCTTGACAGATTTTGTGAATCTCATTACATACAATTGGTCCTCCCGCTTTGATCAGTTCTATGGGAATTCCGTCTCTCCCTGTGCTCTTGTTGTTCCTCATTTTCTTCATTGCTTTTATTACTTCCTTCAATGTTATTTCCGTTTTTTTCTCATTGACTACTTTTCTTTCTTTTAAAGCCTGTAACACCTTCTTTGTATACGTGTTTTTATCTGTGAACAGGTCCTTGATATATTCCGACCATCTATCTTTGATTTGTTGGCCTTCAGTTAGAACATTTCCATCCTTGTCTTTAATAATCCTTGACGTATTCTTCAGTTTTCTTTTTAACTGACTGACTAGCTGATACGCCTCTCTTGTTTTGTTTTGTCCAACTAGTGCTTCTACCCTTTCGCATCTATTGATGCCTTACTTATCTCAAATTCTTGATTTTTCTTATAACGTTCATAGTCTTGGTTTTATTTTTATTTCTAGCCTGTCTCTTTACAAATAAAAAACGTAGAATAACTAACGTATACTTTCCTTTTCTTACTTGTTACTCCGTTAGTTTGATCAAAGTAAGGCGACTTGATGGTTTAGTGGTTAAGTCGCCTGGTCTTGTTTTGCAGTGTATGCAGAGACCTGATTGGAATGTGACAAAAGATCTCCGCCGTTCACATACTTCGTGTGTTGTTGATTCCTCTGAACCTTTAACTATTTTTTTTGTCAAGTTGATTACTCTAATTTGCTCCACAATGTTCATTCTGATTCTACTCTGTATCTCTTTCTGTCCTTACGTGCCTCTATTTTTTTTCTACCCAATCCACCTACAATATATGAAATAGTTTTTAAAAGTTTTAAAATATGCATTTCAATGTGTAATGCATATTTGCAATGTTTATCAAATGTTTTTTTATTTTTAAATCTAGGCGTCCTAATTATGATCGTCTTCACGTTCCATATTTTAAATTCCCGTCAAACACTCTTGCGCAAATTTGCTTTTGTTTCGGTCCATTTTGGGACTTTCTTTTTTCATCTCTACATACCTATTTTTCTGTCATTTAAAAAATTCGGAGAGGATCTAAAGACCCATTTGCTTTTAAAATTTACTGGATAAAGCTGTTAAAATAAATTGGTCGATTGATATATTGAAATACAAATATTTATAACAGGATTATTTAGTGTAAAATAATAAAAATATATAGATGAAACTAATAACAATGCACCGACTCCAACGACTATGATACGGGTGTTTTCAGGGAATTCTTTTTTATTGCATTTGGCAATCTGTCTCAAGATGGCATTTGCATCTTCTTTTTTATCGTGAGTATACAACCATCGGGGTGATTCTTTGATGAATCTTCAATATTTCAATTTAAAATATTAATAAGTTGAATTATCAATTAAATGTTGGTGAGAAAAGATATTATATTTTCAATCTTAAGCAAAATTTTAATTAAAATTGAAACAAATAAAATTAAGCATTAAACACACATTTGTTACTTATTTCTGTAGCCACCATTAAATGTATGATGTAAAAATTCAAAAAAGCCCCGAACTAACATGAGGAGGGAGAGGAGAATGAGAGACGCAATGCTTATGTAGCGTTGAAGTTTGAACCAGGACCTGACGTAGTATGCAATGAGAGGCAACAACATATACCCGAAAGACCAAAAATAATTCACCGCAGTCGACAAATGACCTCGAACTTTTATTCCAGTGATTTCAACAGCTGGTAAATATTAAATTTTAAATTTTTTTATCTTATTCACGTTTAATTTAAGCTAAAAATTAAAAAAAACAAAAAACATTTTTTTTCGTTTTTCGTAAATTTGACTTATTTTCTACTTCATATTTTGTATTTTAGTAAATGAATTAAAAAACAATGAGTATTTTATAAAATAAGAACAAATCTAAGAAATATACCTAAAACATTATCTTTAGAAAATTATTGTTAAGACATTTCTAAAATAAGTCATCACGATTTTTTTCATGCCCGTTAATATATTATTATTATTATTATTATTATTATTATTATTATTATTATTATTATTGTTTATAATATTCCAACTATGAGTATGGTGCAACAAATAGGAGTCAGCATACCGACAGATGTGCCGACGGAGTAAGCAGCAACTGTGTGTATGCCCATGACGAACTGAAGGATGCAGTAGACGTAATAGCGAGGCGAGAAGGAGGCACCTCCAGCCAACAAAACCATGGCCACCATCGCATAAACGTAGGGCCATCTTCTTCCAAACCTTTTTTTTCAAACTTTAAAAATTATTCTTAGACAAAATTTAACAGCAAGCAAGAATAAAGGATAAAACTTGAATTATATGAGATAGTGATTTTAACTATAGGCATAATCGATGACATGAAATAGCCTGAAATGTTTATAATAAATATAACATTATATGAATGTTATTATCGCTTGGAGATTGTTAACTGCTTTTCGTTTACTTTTTGCCATTGTTAAAAAATATTATAAAGTTATTAATATTTATACTTTTAAATTGATTTTGTTAAGAACTATGTGTTTCTTTCTAGTTATGCGACATATTGGCAGCATTAAAATCTGCCGTTGTTTATAGGTTAGGATATCATAATAGCAATATGGGCACATTCACGGTTGGTTTGAGACTGATGTGTCTTAACTTCGATAATTTTTATGGCAGTAATGGTAACAGTAACATCTGGCGCACTCGCAACCAAACATCACTCTTATTTTTAAATTGAATATGAAATGATAATTGTAATAATTATGTATGACAATCTCATGACTCTAGGCCAGTGGTGGGCAAATTTTTCGCTTTGAGGGCTCGCAAACCGTAGTTTGCCCACCCCTGCTGTAGGCGGATGCTATGCTTATATGTCTTTATAGTTTATATGCATGTTTCATGTCATTATGTGCATAAGCGTGTTTGTACATTGGAGATGTATGAGGTATGCGTTTGCAAAGCAAATATCCTAACTCAACGCTCGGATGACAAAGTTAGATTTTATTTTTGTAGTGGAAGCTAGTCCAATTTTTGACAAAGCATAAAATTTATGGTTTGATTTTTTAATAACGAAAATGTTGCATGAATTTGAAAACTACTTCTAGAAGAACGGATCTGTTGAATTTGTGATACGGTCCGCTTTTTAGAAACCAATTTATTTAAGTTATGTTTGATTATATTTTATTATTTTCTATTTGTTTGAAATTCATTTCATTTATTTCTTTATTTAATATATAAAACAATTGTGGGAAGTTTTGAAAGTGCTATAGGCGTGAAAGAGGTATGGAAAGCTAATTTAGGTTCAAAAAAAGCTTTAAAACCCTCAGATTTGTGCGACAAAATTTGCACCAAAATGTTAGCGAACTATTTCAAATTTTTCAACTTTGCCAATTTGAACTGCCACACCAGAAAAAGCATTTTCTAGTCTACTAAGAATTAAAAATTATCTAAGAAACTGAGAATTACAACCCTGCCCAGCCTGCTCTCATCATTTGTCACAGGTGCATCACTCCCATTATTTACTGTGATGAGTAAGCAATGAGTCATCAGAGCCGCGAAATGACAATTAAAAAACACTATGCGAAAAGTGCCTAGATCCAATTATTAAACGTTTTATACAATATATAACATCTAAATGTAGCAAGGGTTAATTATAAAATTTGTTGGAACTGTAATAAACGTACTTGTCGATTAGGATACCCCACATCAAAGCACCAAGTAACTGGCCAATTCCGACAGCTGAATAAACAAAGGAAGATTTCCAAACGTCGTCACAAACCAGGTTCCACTGTTGACAGTTGTTTTCTTTTATTAAGCACTAATTAACGTTGTAGATGTATGCAGGGTCGAAAAATGGTACAACGGCTGATTGGTACCCGATCCAGCTGCTGTTGCACTGACAGGGATCGAATGTGTAAGTGGATCCGCGCTCATTCACATTCGTGAGTGTGTTTTTTGTTGTCGGCACTTCCGAGAGTTTATGAAGGAAGATTAGACAGTTATAATAATCGATATCAACATATAATTTAATTATAAAATTTTTAGAGGTTTGGAATAAGTTTTTCAGATTAACTTAAATTTAACACTTTATTGTAAATACAAAATTGTCGGAGTAGAATGAAAAAATTCCGACTCCAGCTTTTCGAAAATTCCGACTCCGAGTTCCAACTTCAGGAAAAAAATTCAACTTTTGCACATTAATTTTACTTAAATAACATTATCAAATAAAGAATACTTTAATTACTCGTAAAGTCAGTATATATAATTGTTTTTCTTTGTAAAACCACTTCATATTTATGTTTTCAAAACATATTGAAAGGAAATTATGTGATTTCTAACACATTATTAGCATTATCTTCAATATTAAAGATGATTGCATATCGCTACACATTATTATATTTAAAAAAATACGGTCGTAAAAAATTTTCAAATTTTCATTATTTTTCGGAGTCCTAAAAATTTTGACGCCGGCAAAAATCTCCGACCGCCTCCAACTCTGAGGCTGGTAAATACTGGTTGTGCTCGAAATGGAAAATGTGCTAAAAACGAAGCCTGTTGTTTGAAGTTTTATCAAATGGTTATAACATTTTAAGTTTATAAAAATTTTTACTATCCACAATTAAACCTTGACTAAATAAAATCAAAATGATCGTACCTGAGTGACAATGGTTTCTTCATAGACACTTCTATCAAATATCCAGCCATATTTACATGGGACTGACCGGTTTCCAAACTGATTGGGGTCATTTCTCCATTGGTTCACTGTTTCAAGAGTCCAGTTGCTGTAATCTCGGTCATACATTGCACATTGATTAGTCCCATTGACGGTTATATTTTTGAGCAAACTCTCAGATAAGTTTAAATGACCAATGGAAGGGACTTTGCAGTAAAAGTCCGATGGTGTTGCTCCAGCAAAAACATAAGTCATCACGAGAACAACTTCTATCATCATGCCAATTGTGAATGTTAAAAATATCAAAAACTGATAAGGACCGAATTCGCCAATAATTTCCATCAAATCGTCGAACAACACGGTGGCTTCTTCGGAATCGTACGAGCTACCCACGCTCTTAGATTTACTATCGGTGACGGAAATATTCTCGCTACTGCGGTTGGTTTGATGTGAAGTTTCTTCGACGTGTGGTACACCATCACCTTTATAACATTCATTATAAAAGTCGTTCGTATCGGCATTTTCATCAAACAAATTGTTTGTACTTCTTTCATTCATTCCAAAACTGATATTTTTTTGTTATATTTCACCAAGACTATACGTATTGCATTGAAATCAATTTTCATCAATTTATACTTTACAGTTGCTTATTTTGTAATTTTAAAAAAATTTTTCTTTATTGTGTCAATAATCTTAATCTACTGTCAATCTTCAATGCAAATTATGTTGTGAAGTGTCCTCAAAGCATATCTCAAACCATGGACTTCTCTATAATATAACTATATCAACAGAACAATTCACTCATGTTTATTAAGTTGATGTTGTTATTATGTTGATGTCGTTATTATGATGATGTTTTTGTGTTGATAGTGTTATTATATCTTAATGTCTTTGTTGTTGATGTTGTAATAAGGTTGATGTTATTTTTTTATTCTTAAAAAAATTAGAATTTGAAAAATACAAAATTCTTTATATTATAAAATAAAAAAATAAAATAAGTAGAAAATTAAACAAATGACGAATGATCATTGAGTTTTAATATTGTTATAACTGGCCGGTCGGCGAAGAGTTCGTTTAATCGCAGTGAATAATAGTGATACGAAATAACTTTCAAATTATCGATTTATTTATTTACAAAGCATTAATTAATTAATTAACAAATCAATAATCAACGTCCATTCATTTTATTAACAAAAGTTAATGTTCACAAACTATTAAATTAACCTTCAGAAACTATAGCTTTCCGAATAACAATTCAATAACGTTTATCGCAAAAACAATGAAAATACAACGCAGAGTCAAATACCAAACATCGCTTTCGACGCTAACAATCAATCGATTTCTAATATCAAATATATTCAATGACAACCATCCAATATCTTGCAATCGCATGTCTTTTTAAATACCCATTTTATCAACTCTTCCCAAACGTCCTTGATATCTCGCTGTCAGAAGGTTCTAGCTCCTCCTCGAACTGTATGCATTCGTAGCGACCCTAGCCTTTTAGCGAATATATTTGTGACGTTTATAACAATATCTTTAAGGCGCCATGAGATGATTGTTGATTCATGAAAAATGGAGTCGTTATCGTTCCGATAATGTTACTATGTTGATGTGGTTATTATTTTGTATGCATTGAAATAGCTTAATGAAAATAAATTCAGCTCTTGTTGAAACTTATTTGAAACTTTTAATGAAAATTAATATAATTAAAAGTCTAAAAAATGAATAAAATGAAGGAATGAATAAGATGAATAAACGAATAAAGTTAAAAAATGAATAAAATGAACAAAAGACTAAATGTCTTAAAATTTTCGATCCAGTTTCCAAACAGATTAATGCTTACAGAAATTCCATGCCTCAAGCGGAAAATTCCATACTTTAATAATTATTAAAGTATGGAGGTATAATAATTAATAATTATTAATATTTAATAATTAAATATCATCAGAATATATTTACAACAATAATTATAAATTTATAATGTAGCGCATTAAAATAATAAATAAAAATAACACTCATGAAAATGACGTAAAGTTGCGTAAAAAATAATTTGTATCGGGCAAAACTAACTAAAAACTAAACAACTAAGAAAAACTTAACAACCTAAAAGATTTGTTAATTTGTGCCATGAATTAATTTAATGAATAAACTGGTAGAGTGTAGAAATTGAAAATATGGGAGTTTCAACAAAATCCAAGTTCCTCAAGAATCACAACACTATTGTAAATGCAAAAACTTGGTCAAGGTCGTGTCAAACCGCTATTCACGAAGGTTTTCCGCATCATAAATTTATTAAATTTATTTAATTGTTTCAAAACAGAAACTTTAAAAAAATTAAATTATATAATTTTAAATTTTTTTTAGGCATTAATAAGACAAAGGTGTTGCATACGATGTTTGAGAAAAAGAATGCCATGGTAGTCTATTAAAATGATGTTCAATTTATTTATAAATTTAATATGAATAAATACGTAACGAATTTTCAGTGTCCCAACAAGCATAAAAATTCTTTGGAGGCATTTGTTCAATGTTCATTCAAAAAGAGGTTTGTTTATAAAAATCAATGGAAAAACAAAAAATAAAATGAATTAAATTATTTTGAAAGGCCCAAAGAGCCAAAAATCGATAGAGAATCAAACTGGATTTTAGCTCCTCTCAGACAGACTGCTCTTGACAAAAACAAAATTAATAATTACAAATATTTTACTCGAAAATCTGAATCATCGCCAAGTTTATCTAAACTATCAAATAATCGTAAAAAACAAGAGTTTTCTTTGGATCAAAATAAAATTCTACAGAAATCCAGATCACATATTTACGTTAAACATTTTCAGTCAGCAAAACTGAACAGAACACGGTTAAATAAAAATCACTTGAATATAAATGGTAACAATAAACCAGATGATGCAATGTCTTATGTTGGAAGTATAGCTGAAACAGTAAATACAACATATCCTTTCACAAAAATGACCTCCTCGCGACCAGTATATCAACGAGTAAAAAAGTTTTCGAAATTGTCCAAACCATTGGATAATTACAACTTTGTTAACAACATAAATCAAAGTTCGCAAAAAGGTTCCAGCGAAAACGTTACAGCGGAAAGTGAACCTAAACCGAAAAAACCTAAAAAGCCTAAAGCTGTTGTAGAGGGAGAAGAACCCACCCAATCACCAGACACACCAGTTGTTGAAGAGCCAAAAAAGAAAAAGAAAAAATCGGTTGATGAAGGCGGACTAACAGGAGAGACAGAATCTTCGCAAAAACCATCAGAAGAACCAAAAACAGTGGACGATGAATCCGGGCAGAAACCGCCAGAAGAACAAAAACCAGAGGGCGATCAATCAGATGAACCAAAGAAGAAAAAAAAACTAAAGATACCAACTAATGAGGAAGAAACGAAAAGGACTTCTAAAGATTCTCAAGCGACTACCCCGGTGAAGATAAGTGATGCTGCCTCGACAGAAGAAAAACCTATTAAATCCAAGAAAGCGGTAGCGACTGATGAGCCGCATAAGATACGTGACTCAGTGGACTCAAAAAGAACTTCAAAATTGAAAGATAGTTCTTTACCTCCTTGCGATGGAGAAACTGACGAGCCGTGTAATGACGCTGACAAAAGAAAGAAATCTAAAGAAGCATCTGAAGGAGAAAAAAAATCGGCAAGATTTGGTGGCTTTGTTGATGAAGGAGAAAAAAAATCTCCAAAATTTGGCGGTTTTGCAGATGAACCTGCAACCTCAGCTGCAACTGGAAAACAATTAGTTCAAGGTGAAGAAAGTGACGAGGGGGGAGATTTTGAAGACGAAGGTACAAAATATTTGAAAGATTTGATTGGAGGAGAAACAGTTAGACCTATTGAGTTGGCTCATTACAGGAGTGAAGAATTTATCGGTACTGCTATAACTATGCGGGGAGGATATAGATTCAACATCAATTTTTCTCAAATTCCGCAAGAAGAGAGTGAAGAGGAAGAAGATGAAATTGATGATGAAGAAGAAGAAGTGGGAGAGCCATTTAGCGAAGATAATGTTCAGCCCAGTGAAAAACCTTATTGTCAGACAAGTTGCTTCAGAGAAACATTTTTAAAATTTATTAACCTTTGGAAAAATGAAATAAATGACAAAGTTTTTGAGAAAGTTGATCCAAATCCACCAATTTTCAGCAAATCTACAACGAGTTTCATTGATAACCAAGCTGTAGAAATAGAATGTCGTCCAAAGCCCAAACGACATAGATATTCAAAATATTTCAGTGGTGATAAGAAATTTGGAGAATGCGACATATGCTTGTTTTGTACACCTAGATGTTGTCAGAATTAATTTTTTTTTATTCGAAACTTGATTTTTGAAATTGCTGTGAATGAATATATCATTTTGTGACAAAAAAATGCAAACCGTTTAAACATAAAACAAAATTTGTAAAATTTTTAAAAAATTTGTTGAAATGTTTTATTTTTCTCAATAATCAGGTTTAACAAAACCTCAAAAACGAGGCATAAAATTTCATAGAAACTCATAAATAATTAAAATCTAAAAAATTCAAAGCAGTTAATTTGTCTATGGTTATGTATGATGCAAGCTTACGCGGTGTTAAAAATGTGAAAAAATTTGTAATGAAAAGTGAACATCCCGTTTTTAATGCCTAATTTTGAACATTTGAAAAATAATTTGAAAAATTACGATGAACTTTCGTGCTACCGAAAAAGTTCCTGAAACATGCAGAATACACGGCATTCTCGATCAAGGAACCATGAACAACTCGAAACTTTTCAGTGGCTTGTCGGAGAACAATCAATCTTGCCATCCGTCTGGGTTGAGTTTCACACAGTTCCGGGACCTCTTCTTCAGACAGAGAGGGCCTCTGGAGGAACAGAGTTACAGAGGGTCTAACAAACTTGATTCCAATTGAACATGTCACAACTTCAATTGAAAAATTAACTAAATTGCATGTGTTGAAATCACTCAAGTTTTAAATTTTGAACATATTTTTCAATGATCAGCCACGATGGATCTGAAATTTATTTTGTAATCCTTGTGACAACTCATTCATGTAAAAAAAGCAACGTTACTACAAACTTGAAGCTGAGCATCAAAATTTATTAAGAGAATACACTTGAAATATTTTGATGCACATGTTGTTTAAAAATTGCGCTGTTTATTAGTTTTTAATATGATTTTAAGCTTTTTTAAAATTTACAATAAAACATTAATAAGTGATTTAAAAATTATAACTTTTGAAAATAATTTCGATTCATTATTTTTCGCCCATGAATATTTGGTACTTTTCATAAAGGTGATGTTAAAAATATTAATCTGCGTGTAATAAATTTTCAATGAAGAATAACATTTCAATTGAATTTTATGGAACTGGAGTTCATTAATGAAATGGCTCTTTAATAGTTAACCTGGAATAATTTTAAATTTGAATTATATTTTCATTTATTTATTATATATTTATTTATTATTTTACATTTTCTGCATTTATTTGATTGCATTCTTATTTGTTCATATTATTTCATCAACAGAATTCATTAAAATGTTCAACCACTGAATTTTATTGGATGAAACTTCATTGTTTTAATTTTATAGTATATCAATAGTAGTTACAGTAGTTTCAATGTCATAAAATTATTTGTTACGCCAAACGCTTTTCAACTTTATAATAAACCAAACGCAGCAGTTGGTGCAGGGGTATAAATTTGTATTAAGTGAAGTAGTAGTAATTAATAAGCTATTATTTTAATGCTAAAATGACGTCAAAATTCAACTATTCAATAACAATAACACAAAAATAAATATCAGTCAATCACTTTATTTGATTTTTTAATTATTTTGAAAATATTTACAGAATAATGCAGAGTATTTTTGTGAGAATTAGTTGATTACTTAAATAAAAAACGTCTAAATTTTGAGTCATTACCAGCGCGTGTATCAATCTCAAACTACTAAATAAAGCAGAATAAGTTATATCTTGACAAAATTTGTTGGGAATCATAAATTTGTTTATAAAATTCTCGAAAAATGAGAATCAAGTTAAATTTTTATCTATAAAAAATCTCTAAAGCCATGAGTCTTTGAAAATGTTAATTCTGTTGGATAGTCCATGATGGCAAAATTTCAAAGTTCAGTCAACAAAAACAGCAATAACAGAGGCATGACTCTTAATTTTCTATTTCGTTCTAAACAATTTCATTCCATATAAATAAATGTTATTTTCAGTATTTAAGATGATTGCTTGCCACTATATATATTTATCTTCTAAAAAACATATTCTTGAATAATTTTTAAGAAAAAAATTGATTTAAAAAAAATAAATAACACTCCGGATCGACGTCTGGCTCATTGAAAAATCCGACTCCGACGCTGCTTTTAATATGTTTCTTACATGTTTCTACATATTTGCTAGAATTAACTCAAATAATATTATGAACATTTTTTTAGATTGCAGATGTTGGGATGAATATCAGGAGTTTGTTTTCGTAAGATAAATAGTTTTTCTAAACTATTGTCACTTTGTTTTTATAGAAATTAGAAATTCAAATAAATCAACCTGCAATTTATATTCCTGTTTCTACACATGTTTTATTTTTGTGTTTCTGCCTAATTTACTGCCAATTTTCAAGCGTTTAATTAACATTGGATGTTTGCTTAGCCATTTGCTATTTTTTTCTTTTGGTCCAATTTTGACAGTGTTTAACAGTTTTTAAAAATTTTTAAGTTCCGTCGTTCGTCGATGATAAATCATAAGATATAAATTTTAATGATGGAAAACGGTATCAATTTGTATTCGTTTTATGACTCGTTGTTTAAAAGATAAATGATTTCATCAAATCTAATGTAGAACCATCTCCTGAAACACCAGACCACTCCGAGCAGGTTATCGTGATTCAATGCTTCATTGGCTTTTCTTTTTTTATTTATTTTCACCTATTCTAACAGGACTGATGCGTATTTTAATATAATAAAAAGTTCATCTTGTTGTTATTTCCATAAGATTAATAATTATAAAAAATAACAATATCGTTAGTTATCTTATTTAAATTAATTATTCCTTATGTACTTCAATTTGCTAACTTAGTGTTGCTAACTGGTTTGCCGCACTTGTCACCAATTTGTTTTTAAGTTTATTATTGTTATTTACTAATTTTCTATTTATAACTATTGTTGCTAGTGACCAAACTAAAGTGTACGGTTTCTACAAAAATTTCGAATTTATAATTTTATATATATTTATAAATCTCTCTTTCATAAAATAAATTTATAGAGAATGTATTACAAAGTTAGAACGTTTTTTGATAAACTTTATAAAGTTAAGCTTTGAACTGTTAATACAATGTTTTATTAATAATTTAATTTGTTTTTTAATTATCATTCGGCAGTCTTTAGTGACTGTGACGCATTTTTAATTTATTAAAGATTTGTGAAAATGTTTAATAACCTATGTGAAATATCTTTGAATTTGAAAAATTTGGTTGTATTCAAATTCATTACCAACATACACATACACACACGCTGACACACACATACGCAAACAAAGAAGTACACATAGAGATAGAGACACAAGCAAACACGCACACACACCAACAAACACACACACCAACCAACACATATACACACGCATGCATGCAGGGGTGTCGATGACAACAGAGTGGATGCCAACCGAATGCCGTGCACGAAGGACAGGTTTTCTATTTTCTGCCCCTCCACTGAGTGTCCCTGTTGCAGCTCCAAGAAACCCTTCCAGGGCTGCTGTGTCTACAACTCCTCCAATTCCAGCTCCGATGACGACGATGATAGAAATCAGGGAGACAAAAGGAAAAAGGAAAAGAAGAAGAAGAAGAAGAAAAAATCCAAACAGGAGGAGTGTGATAAAAAAATGAAGAAGAGAAGAAAATGCGAGAAATCGAGCTACAATGATGGCGATGATAAGGAAAAGAGGAAGAAGAAAGATTCAAAGTATTCAAAAAGTAAGTCAAAATCCGAATCATCAAGAAAATTAAAAACGGAAAGCGGTTACAAATCGAAATCGAATTCAGATAAAAAAAAGTCGTCGTCAGATGATCTTGAAGAAGATGAGGCTGATGAGCTCGATGATGGCGATGAGGATGACTCCTCTGTGGCCTCGTAATGCCTAATCGTCTTTTCAATTTATTTATATTCTTTTAGCGAAGTACAATTTTTAAATGAATGTTACATCAGTTTGTTTTTTGAACGTCATCGTTCTTACTACTTTCAAAACAAAAATTTGGCAATACAAAAATGTAAAATGTTCTTACATAAATGAGTTTTAAACAATTTATTGACTGAAAATACAATCACGTACATGTAGATTTATTTTATAAATATATATATATATATATATTATATATATATATATATAATATTATATATATATATATACTGATTTCTATATATCTACATATATATAATGCATGCATGCATGCATACATACATACATACATACATACATACATACATACATACATACATACATACATACATACATACATACATACATACATACATACATACATACATACATACATACATTGAAAGGCAACGTATAAACAAGAAACTACTGTATACGTTCATTCTGATTGGTATAAATTATTTTGTTTATCTTTGTATAGCTGCAGGCAGGCTTGGTTTATCTGAATGTATAAATTACCTTACACCTCCGCTCTGCAAAAAATCTTTCTTACTTTTCCAACGTTAGCGTATCTAAATATATAAAATATGTGTGTGTGTGTGTACTGTGTATGCATGAATGTATGCGTACGTGCTATTCTTCTGCTATGTATACTTAGATCTGGTTAAACTGCCAGAAAGTTATGAAACATTGTAGATATGTTTGTCAAAATATCAAAAACACGCGTACTTTTACGTTTCAAACGTGGTCACTTACATGGAGTTCAGATGAAACTTGATGACACACTAAATATGAAGATGACACAAATTTGAAGGATTTCAACCATTAATAAATTCAAAAACGTAAAAGTGGTTTCAAAATGCAAATTTGTTGTCTTAAACGTTTCTACAAAAATTTTAAATGTTTCAATGTAACTATCATAAATATTTAAAATATCAGCTATCCTATATTTTAGGCTAAAAGATTTCTTTCATAATTTTTGGGGTATTTTTTGGCTTTGTGCATGGAAATTAATTTGACGACTGTCGTGTTTACTGCAGCTTGGCTTTCAATACCAATCACACGCCGGTAGTAGGTGGCTATGTTAGCTGCTGCAACCAGAAAACTATGGCGATTGCTTTCTCATACGATACATGACTTACATTTGTTGATGGCTCATGTCGACCTGAAAGCAGCTTTTTGACTGCCAGCGGAAACGCCATGTGGCTGCTGTCGTTTTGTGAGCTGGACAGTGCTACACATTCCTCCTGAACTTGAAGTTTTGTTAAAAACTCTTTACATCATTATGAAACAAAATGAATGCAAACAAAGGAAGTTATTACGAAAAAAATAGTATATCGAGATCTGAGCTTCTGTTCAGCATGTCACTCACCAACAACCATTCGAGAAAGTTAAAATTCTTGCACGGATGTAAATTGGGACAAGCAGAAAAGAAAGATTGAAGTCATCTCCCAACACAATCCTCTGCCCCTCCTAACAATTTTTTGCTGAATAACGATTTGAAACAATTTGTGGGTTCGGTCCGTCTGGCTGTGGGGTACATCTGTCGCACTTGGCGGTGAGAGGGCATTGTGAAGAGGAGGAACATTTTAGGGTGAGACACACACACACACGCACACACACACATTATTATTATTATTATTTAAATTATTATTTATATTTTTTATTATCATTCAATGGTGTGTTTGTTATTTTGCCAGCCATTAGAATCAGTCCTCGTCCTGCTGCCACCATTCTGAACGTTCTCATTCGGAATTAATTTTCTTTGTTACACTAAGTGTCAAAATATAAAAAAAAGTTATTTATTGATAAAAATCATCTTTGTTCCCAAAATTTGTTGTTCTTAGTGAACTTCTGTGAAATTCAACTTTTCTACTAATAACATAATCATCACCGTCTCTATCATCATCACAATCATCACACGCTTCCTCTGCTAGCTTCATGTTGATTAAGATGTTAATGGTGCAGATATGTTGATGAGTGCGGTGGTGGTCTCGCTTGGGAAAGCATTTCAATGGTGATCCTGATGAAAATGGTGACGACTAATTAATTAATTAATTAATTAATCAATGATATCAAGGAAATTGGGGATGGCAATAACGATAACAACAATGGCACCGGTGATGAAGGAGATGCAATGATGACGATGATGATGATGATAATGATGATGATGATGATGCTATTATGTTGATGATGACGTAATGATGAGGATGTGTTGATGGTGTTGATGATGTGAAGATGATGTTGATGAGGATGTAATGATGATGACATAATGTTTAAAGAAGCCCGAGGCAGAAGAAGATAATCTTCATAGGAAAGATTCGGAAACTGCGGCGAGATATCATAAACTATAGATAAGAGACTAGCAGGCAGGCAAGCACATGTTATGGACTTACTCTTCTCTCTAACGCTCGCTTACTCACTGCTACTTCCTTTTACTCCATACAGCAATCTGCGTTCTCTCTTTATTGCAAAAATAACTCTTATTATATAAAAAAAAATAAATCAGTAATTATTCACAACTTATAACACGATCTAAGCTGAAACGTTGAATAATTATTGCATAACATTTTGACATTTTAAAAGTTTTCAACAACGGTTAACAACAAACGATGATGATGACGAAGACGACATTGATGGTGGTGATAATGATGATGATGATGATGGCGATGATGATGATGATGTGAAAGGCTGTCACCAGGTAACATCATATTTTCGACCCGCCACGCTGTCTTCAGTGATGATGATGATTGTTGTAGTTATGATTACTAGAATATTAATTATTTTTATGAAGTGCATGTATGAGTGTGTGTGTGTTTGTTTGTGTGTGTTTTTGCGCGTGTGTGTGTATGTGCGTGTGTATATGTATGTGTATGCCTCTATGTGTGTTTGTTTACTTTAATTACGTGTTTTTGCATGCGTGTGTGTGTTTGAGTATGTGAGTTTGTTCTTGATTACGCTATATGCATGGCTGTGTGTCTGTGTGTGCGCCTGTGTGTGTGTTAGTATGTGTGTTTGTGCGTGTGTGTGTGTATGTTAATATGTGTGTTTGTTTACTTTAATTACAACACCAGTCACGTGACGTCTGTGTAAACAAATGTTCAAGTGCTCATTTCCATTCCATGTAGACAACATGCAGACCTGTCGTGATTGGTTGGTCGGCGCATCACATGATCGCTCATTGGCTGAACTAATTGGTGGGTGGAGTTTGATAATGAGTAGATGGGCAATTCTGCTAATCACAATTAGTGTTATCTTTTATTTTTTTGTAAAAAATAATGCAAAGCGATTGAAGGGTGGGTGGTCATATTTGGTCGGTCCGTACCTCAGCAAGTTGTTCATTTAATTATTTGTTTGTTTGTTTGTTTGTTATTATTATGTATGTTATAATTTTGTAATTTTTTCGCAATAAGGGATGCAGTTGGTCGGTGGTCTTTCTGAGAAGGCTTCCTGGTTCGCAATCTGTGAACACGAAAAAAATGCTGCCTCGTGTGGCTGTTGCTGCTGCTGCCGGTGGTGGTGGTGTTTTGCTTGTTGAAATAAAGAAACAAATGAATGAAGTAGAGTAACAACTACAACATCAAACAAAAACTTTCAATTGTGAAATGTCCTGTGGCTCTTTCATAACAGTAATTATCAATCAACGTTTTAAAATTGTATTGGATCCGGTGAACCTTTTTCTGAATGAGTATGAGTAAGTACATCTTTATCCACCGTGCAAGACAAAAACTGAACTGACTGAATGATAAAGGTCGAACGTTCTTTAATGTTAATCAATGTTTTAAACTTCAACAGGATGAAAATGATGAAGATGAGAATGATGATGATGATGGTGGTGATGATGATGGTGATGATGATGATGATGATGGTGGTTATGATGATGATGGTGATGATGATGGTGGTTATGATGATGATGGTGATGATGATGATTGTGGTGGTGATGATGATGGTGATGATGATGGTGGTGGTGATGATGGTGATGATGATTCCAAGTTACAAGGATGTCGGTAAAAGCAGCAAACAACGCGGCGTATCAGAGGAGTAAAAATTGATGGCCCAGTCGAGATAGCAGATCTGCTAATGATGTTGCCGATGATGTTCAAGCTAAAAATGATGATGATGATGATGATGCTGTTGTTGTTGGACATTACGATAATGATAATGATGATGTTGTTGTTGTGTTGATGATGATGAATGACATGAAGATGATGATAGTGATTATATCTACGATGATGATGATGATGACGATAGTGCAGACGATCATTTAATGATGATGTCATCATGGAAATCATTTCATGTTTCTCAAATTTTCCAAAATAGTTTTATTATTACTATAATTATTATTACTATTATTAAAGTTTTCAAATTAAATTATAGTTTAGCATAAAAATGAATAATTATTTAAAATTTTTGAAACCATTGATGAATAATTATTTAAAATTTTTGTCTGAACAATTTTTTGTTCGATCCTTCGAAGATTTCGTGGGATGAAATTGTGCGGAGAGGCTTCGATGGAAAATATTTCGATGTATGCAGGGATATTCAAAAAAGTTCCAACACCCTCCCAGACACTGGCTATGTAAAGACTTCAACGTAATTATTTTCATAGCACCAACATTAACAACAAATTTGATTATAACCCGTCAACATAATTTGCCCTTCAAACTTCAATTTGTGAAAAAATATTTAAAAAGATGTATCTGTGAAGGGGCAGCATCAACTTCAACGTGCAGTTTTAAGTGGCTTCAAAAAATGTTGACTGTACAAGAAACAAAAGAAACATGAACGATGGCACTTCAAGCCAACAGCTGAAAATCGGTTGAGATCATCGAAAATTTAAAACAGTGAGAAGTCCACCTGTGCAGCGAGACATCGAGGTTCTGAAGTACGCAGATGCCCGAACTGAGAGTTTCATTGAAAAAAAATTTAAAAACAAGAGACACGGAATCGAAACTACAGCACTCATCAGCACTGTACGAGGTGGTCTCAAGTTCGATTTCAAACCCCACCCACAATGCATCACTTTCCACGACAGCCCTGGGCACCACCTTGCAATGCACCATCCCCACCTCCACATCTCTCTGGAAAGCCTGCCCCAACCAGACGAGGTGAGCTCACTCGCCCCTATAGAGTGATGGACATTGATTGATGTATTCCAGTTTTGAAGTTTAATACGAAGACACGAGAGAAGAAATGAACTGGTCATCAAAATAATAAAAAGTCATTGATAAACATCAATCCAGATGACAATTTTATATTGTAATAACAAAACAAAAAGTTCGATAATAAAAACAATATTAATAATAATACTAATAATATAAATAATAATAATAATAATAATGATAATAATAAAGTATTAATAATAATAGTTTAATTAATGTGATTATTGCCTGGATAAATTATCACGTTGATAAATAAATACAAAAGTAATAACTATGCCGATGTGAGCGGTCATCATTAATAATAACAATTTCAAGAACAACGACAACAGCAGCAATAATCATAAAAACGATAAAATGGTAATGACGGTGGTGATGATGATGCCGTCAACTGGTTGACCCTTGAAAACATATGCTGCATTTAGACATTCTTCCTACGGTATTCATTTACACTCATTTCATTCTTTAACGTCATGTCAGTCCAACACAATCACACACACACACACGCGCACACACACGCACACACACACACACACATACACACACACACATACACAAACACACACACACACACATACATACACACCTACAAACAAACACACGCACTCACTCACACACACACATACACACACACCACATAAACCACAAATATATATTTATACATACACAAACATACACACACATAGTAGGTACATACACAAGTATATTTATATATAATATGCATGCATTAATTATATATTCATTCGCAAAACCATCAACCGTTGCCAATGTCTGCCCAGTTAATAAATGGATATGAATTTGTATGACTCTATTAACATCCAGCATATTACAACAAGCCAACATGTATTCATATAAACGCTTGTGTGTGTGTGAGTGTGTGTGTGTGTGTGTGTGTGTGTGTGTGTGTGTGTGTGTGTGTGTGTGTCAGTCACTCATTCACTCAACCCATTTCAACATCGATTGTAGTAATCATAATTATTACACTGACTATCTCATTATGTCTGAAGCACCTCTCGCTACATTTCTATTTAACGAGGCATATTCAGTTTCACAAAATAAAATCAAATGGGAATTATCAAACATCAAATCTACCAACACCTTCCAAATTGTCAGTAAGACTAGAATTTGAGGATGTTTTCTGATTAAATACGTCAAATAGGCGAAGAAAAGTTATCAACAGCCCATTTCTGATACTTTCAAAAGCAAATTTTCTCTGGTACCAGTCATCTGATTCTATTCAACCGAGACGAACTTAACATAATATATCAATGATGAATAGTTTAAAAAAAGTGTTTATCCATTCATTTTGTTTATCAATTCTTTTTTTAATTCGTTTATTCACCCACTCACTCACTCACTCACTCACTCACTCACTCACTCACTCACTCACTCACTCACTCACTCACTCACTCACTCACTCACTCACTCACTCACTCACTCACTCACTCACTCACTCACTCACTCACTCACTCACTCACTCACTCACTCACTCACTCACTCACTCACTCACTCACTCACTCACTCACTCACTCACTCACTCACTCACTCACTCACTCACTCACTCACTCACTCACTCACTCACTCACTCACTCACTCACTCACTCACCCACTCACTCACTCATTCATTCATTTATTCATCCATCCGACCGACAACTAACAAAAAGTTTGATTGTATTGAAATGAAAGTTTAGCGGTTCAACATGAGCAATTGCGTAACGCAGCCATCGAACACTTTGTTCCTCTCTCTCTCTTTCTCTCATCACTCTCTCTCTCTCTTTTCTCTCCATCTATCTACTTCCATATCGGAATGTGTATTCCTGCGTGTTTATTATTTTAGTCACAATGTGTGCGTGTGTGAGTGTGTTTCTAATTGATGTTAGTTTATGTTAATTTATGTTAATTAACGTTCCATGCACTCAGGTGTTTGCGTCATGTGTATTCAGCCTGCTGTAATAAGTAAATTGAAAAGATCGTAAAATACAAAATAAACCTTTTTGTATTTGTTATATTGTGAACGATTCAAGAGATGCGTGTACACATACGAACATGAAGTAACAAAACACATGTTGTGCGCACGAACGTGCGCGCCACACGCACGTAAACATGCCACAGATATGTGCGCGTACTCAGCACACACGCGCGTGCAGACGTTTATGCGCAGTATACACACTTTGAAATATATCTCTATACAAATATTGTGTGTTATATATATATATACATAGATATATATATATATATATATATATATATATATATATATATATATATATATGTATGCACGCCTATATATATATATATATATATATATATATATATATATATATATATATATATATATATATATATATATATATATATATATATTCGTGCATTTATATTTTTTGATTGGTTGAATTAACTCCGCCTTCGAATAAATTAACCAATAGAATTTGAATCTCGAAAGTAAGAAATCTAGTCTAAAGTATTTCTTTCTAGCGGTTACAACAAATGCGGTGAAGGTAGTGGAGAGTTGTGATTGTTTTGATGTGTGGAGGATCTTGAAACTTCAACGTGCACAAATTTTGCTCAAATTGTTAGCTCTTCACTGAGCCATTTTGATGAAAACAGAACAATCAAAAAGTAACGGTTGTTAGTTGTTCAAATATTGAAACGTAAGGCTTCGTTATAAACAGCACGATCAATATATATATTACATATTCATCCATTCGAAATCACAACTGCTTATTAAATAAATAATAATAATAATTAATAGATAATTTTGAAACTAAAATAAAAGTTTTTAATGTTGTTGTAGTTGTTCTTATTAGGAATATCTCAAATTTGATCGTGAACAGAGCAAATTAAATGAAAACTGCTGATTCAATGATGTGGCAATATTGTTGTTAATTATTTCTGCAGACAGCCTGGTGGCGCCTTCGACGACTCCATCAACTGTACCAGTCAGCAGAGAGCAACATTTGTAAATGGAAGGATACCAAACAATTAATCAAAGAATTTAATGAATGATTTCAAGTTCTTTGAAAAAATTTTAAAGATATTTTTGCACTGCATACAAAACCATTCGACAACAATTTTTGGTGCATGTAGTTGAAAATTTCAACAAAATCTTACAAAAAACGCTTGAGTATACGAGTAGACATTATACAGGATCCATCAAAAACCAAAAACCAGTGTGAAGTAAAGAGGAGGAGTTTGCATGAATGATGAATTGTAATTTCCCTTCCTCTTCCTTCTTCTCCTTCATCAATCCTCACCTGGAGGACAATGAGTCAGACAGTTACAGGGACACCTCCATCACCGACCTGGCATATTTTTACGACCAGTCTCTCAGAACTGACCTTGATTCCGACGTGAATATGGAGTCAGCCTGCCTGCCAAACAAATACCCACCGAATGATTTGTACCACGTCACGTCGGCGAACACTGCAAATTCAAATCTCTACGAACCAAACTTCATCGAGATGAACAATTGTTACGCCAGCATGTTGGATTACTGCAACGCCAACACTAGCAACCACAACAACAACACTAGCAACCACAACAACAACACTAGCAACCACAACAACAACAAGAGCAGCAACAACAACAGCAGTAACAACTACGACGACGACGATGACGATGAAGATGATAACGACGATAATGAAATAAATGAGCCATACAAAGAACAACATTTACAGCCTGTTGATTCACTTTTTTATAACTATCAAGGTGATGCAAAATCTCTTTATTCACTGCAAGCCAACCTTCTGCCGCCCTCACATCATCTTCAACAACAACAACAACATCAGCAACAACAGCAACAGCAACAACATCAGCAACAACTGAATCATCATCATAATCATCTTCTTCTTCATCCTCATCACCAGACTCTGCACGCGCAACTCAATGACGTCAGTTTTTCATCGGACCACCCGAAAGATGGCTCCGTTGATGATGATTGTCGTGAGTTCCCAATTAAAACTTCATTAATTAGCATCATGAATTTCATTTCAATTTGGGTTATGACGACGAAAGTGATGATTAAAACCATTATATTCAACATTTTTGTTTGTCTCTTTCGTTTGTCATTGCCTTCATTGTAATTAACATCGTAATTGCATTTCTTATGTCTTTCTAATTGTTCAATGCTGACTGTTACTCTCAGCAAGTTGAACCTCGCTTCTCTAGTTCTCGTAACTATAATTTGAAGTAATTCACCAACAATGGAGGTTCTAACCAATGTGTGCCTGCGTGTTGTATCGATAAGTTTTGTAAAACTGTGTACACACATGAAGATGTTTGTATTAGTCTATAATAGTTTATAATCACTGAAATTAATTTAGTGTGGTCTGTCTTCACGCATCATAATTACAGCAATCCAATTAGACAATTAGAAACAATTACGAGCGTAATAACGACGCTCATCGGACGACGTTCACGATGAATTTCATCGCCACTCACCATCTCGCAATCCGTGTCTGTCTGGTACATGACACCCGCATCCTCTCTGCCTGCTTGTAGGGCATGCAATGCGAACATTCATGCTTGCGCCTTTTAAACATTTTCACATGGTTCTTCTATTACTTTACAAAAATTAAATTAATCATTTTTCAAACAAATTTTAAATAAATTAACAAAGAGTTTTATTTATTATTTTTTAATTAATTTATTTAATTTTTATAATTTTTTTGCCTGGGATTGAAGTTCGCCACTTATGACCACCCTCAAAAAAATTTAAAATGAAATGTTCAGCGGAATGATCCAACGTCAAGTTGGCACACATTTCGTAATAAAATAACAGTAGAACGTTCGTACGCTGACATTATTTATTTTAATTAATTTAAAAAATTATTTTTCATAATGACGTCGCCATTTGCATAAATTTCAACAAATCACAAAGGTAAACAAAAACAAAACTAAGTAAATTCTCACATCGAAAAGAAAGAGGCTCAAACAAGTTACACAGAAGCATTAAGTTACATCAACTACAATCATACAACTTTTCCAATAGAATTAATACAAACGCGCCAAGTTTTATGCACACACAGAACAAACAGCTTGCCGAAAGCTGAAGCCTGGTGAGCACTGTTGCCTATGTTTTGATTTGAAACAAGGTGCACAAAATTGGTTGAAAGATCAATGGACTGCCCACCACCGCCCGCCGTGTGCCCCATAACATCGTGCACATATTCAGCTGCCTTCCCCGCTAACAAGTGGGTCAAAACAGTGGTCGAATGCGAAGGGAGCGGCGGTTTGTTTGGTGAATTGAAGTGGGTGCCAGTTAGCGAGCATAAACATAGCGACCAACAGTTGAACATGTATCCAGACAGTTATTCGAACTTTATGATGGGTTTGAGTCAAGCCCAGGTCGGCCTACAGCCGTCCAGTGCCCCAATGCTCGATCCTCATGGATGCATGGCGCTCCAGTTTAATAACCATTCCATTCCGTCCGGCATTCAGTATTCTGGAGCATATGACTCAGTTAGGAAATCGAGCGATGTGTTAGCAGAACAACTGCAGCAACAGCAATTGCAGCAACAATTGCAACTCATTCAACAGCAGAACAAAATACAACAACATCCAACAAATTATCTTTCCTACGTTGACAACCCACTGACTTATCAAATTCTCATGGAGCAGCAGCAGCAACAACAACAGCAACAACAATTTCAACAACAGCTGCTGCTAATGCAACAGATGAATCCATATTTTCAGCAACAACAGCAGTCACCTCCGACTGACACCATTCGTCAGTTTGTAAAAAATGCTTCAATAAACCAATTCATCCAATGTATGGAGAGCCAACAACAGCAGCAGCCGTGGAACATGGATCCTCTCGCATTTTCTTTGTGTCGCAAGAAGCCGCCCATCGCTGAAACTCCAATGTGTCCAGAACTGAAAGACATCCTGGCCTATCGATACAAGTTGCACGAACTCAATTCTTGACTATTATATTATTTTTTAATGTTTATTAACTTCCCTGTTTAGTATTAAATATTTTGCACATATATGTTACTGGTTATATATATATATATATATATATATATATATATATATATATATATATATATATATTATTTAACATCCTAACATTCACATTTATTTAAAAAATAAATAACAAGTCACTCGAAAAAATCTTCGGTTGCGTTTTGAACAACTTTTATAAAATTAAAAAATTTTATAAATTTGTAAAATGAAAGAGTTTGAAATTAATAAATTTGACACATCTCAATATTATTAACTAGTGTTTGAATTTGTGTGGCGGTATGTTTAATAATAGCATCTTGATTGACCTGCAACTGCAACATATGAAGAAATGCAAGAGGCTTTTCTACTGTCGCTGGCAATCCTCTTCAGTTTGAAATAAATTAGAAAAAAAAAACTGTTCCTTAATGAATAACAACGTGCAGGTTGTGGGTTCGTTCACTTACCCTGGCTCCCAAATGCGTACCACGGCAGTGGTGATGATGAGGAAATCTATCGCTGAACCGCCATCCCTTGTCTATGTATGAATGTGAAATCATTGCACCGCATCATATGGCACTCAAACATTTCTCTGACGACATCAATCAAAGTTCAAACTCTACACTACGACGTTCACGTCATCCCCGTTCTGCTGCATGGAAGTAAGTCATGGTCAGAAAACTCGACGCTGCAGATCATGTTTGAGCAGGATCCTTCGTCTACCCTATCGTTGGCATATCAAACATCGAGGTCAGAAAGAGAACACAGCAGCCTCCAGTCTCCACAATTATTGTTAGATGTCGCCTCACCCTATTTGGCCACATGGTTTCGGAGGACCACCATAGAGTTATATAAGCTGCGATGGATCGACCTACAGCCGGTTGGACTCGACCGCATGGCCGCCTGATGCAAACATGGATGGGCTCAATACAGGCGAACCTATAGCTCCGTGTTTTCGATACTTTTGGGAAAAAAGGATTACTACTACTACTAATGATAATTTTAAACGCATAAAACTAGTAAGCAGTTAAGTAGGCGAAGTTATGGTATCAACATGAATCGTTCCTTCTTGGGGTGAACCACCGTCTACAAGTTTGAAAATTTCTTACACGGTTGGTTATTTCAGAGACTTTGATTTCAAATAAAATTAGAGAGCAGATTTTGCAAACTAAAATACTATATATTAAAACACAACTGCAACTGGATAGTTTTGCACTACATGTCATCTGAAAGTCTTCACAATGGGTTGCTTCTGATTAAATGGAATGCATTTGTTTGCTCTTCTTTTGATTATTATTTTTGCTTTTATTTCAAGTATTTTTTAAATATTAATTGTTGTCAAACATTTTAGACATAAGCGTATATAATTTTTAATCTAAGCCTATTCCATTATGTCATGTAATGTCTGGTTATGTTATGTTACGTTGTGCCATGTTACATTATAAACAAACCAAACCATTGTGGTTGCGTATAGCTAATATTAATGAATTGTTAGTAAAATGATGTTAACAAATTAATTGCAATAAGAATATGCGTATGTAGGTATCACACGCTTAAGACGCTACGCACCGTTATTAACTAACTGACCGACCAGCAGCCAGAAGCTATAGAATTATGATATGATTTATTACGCATGCTGTTTGACGTTTTAATGAGGACAAGCCTGTGTATCTGGTGAGCATCAACTCATGTTTTCATTTAATCGTGCTTGTGTGTAAATATCTGTCTGTCTGCCTGTCTGTCTTGTTTAATCACGTGATGAACGAGCGTGCGTCTTTTTGCATTGGTCAATTTTTATCGTTTCAATGTCAGGAAGGGCCGTTATATAAATGTAAATAAATCAATGAAATTTTAAATAAATAATGAATTTTTATATACACTATATATATATATATATAATTTGAAAAAATAATATAATGCCTATATATATATATGTATATATATATATATATATATATATATATATATATATATATATGTGTGTGTGTGTGTGTGTGTTTAAGTGTATATGTGTGTGTGTGTTTAAGTGTATGTGTGTGTGTGTGTTTAAGTGTATGTGTGTGTGTGTGTTTAATGCAATAAAAGTGTAGTGTAGTTAATCAATTACAAATGATATCGTCTTCGTCGTGATCACAATTAAATGAAACATTTCGCAATTTGGAGCTGAATATGCATCGACGAAAAACCGTCAACAACAGCAACTTAACAATGTAATGAAATTCATTTGTGTATCTTATAGATGTATGTTTGTTGTGCATGCACCTATGCATGTTTTTGGCAATCGTCTGTATGGACAGTGTTTGTGTCTATTTGTATGTGCATGTTTGTTGCGGGTGTTTATAACTTCGACACTGTACAGTCTTTATCAATATCTGGTTGTGTTCGTATGTGCTGGCCTTCATGTTTACAAGCATTTGCAACGCTCTGAAGAGTAACGTAATTTGTCATTGTTTTTATTATTATGTTCATCTTCATCGTCATCACTCACTCAATTTCATCATACAAATATCTAGCCCACGAAGTCATATTATATATAGCTGTTTAGATGAGCTATCACAGTTACTTACGACAAGTTTTAAACTACAAGAAGAGGTGAGCAGTTAACAACAATCACAGCTGATGTAAACTTAGTTCAATATTATACAATTACTACATTCTATTAACGTTAACTAAAATTGTCTGATCTAGAATGCTAAGCAGAAATGTAACCAGATTATTTACTTAAAAAACTTTTTTCAGCTGGGTTCGCCACAACGATTAAGCGATGAACCTTCGGATGATTTTCTTCTTTTCCTTTCTAAGAAGTTAATACAACGAGTTTAAAAACTTTGCGAGATTCATTTTAAAGATAAAAATTTTCAAAGTGGAACTCTTCAAAACATTCCGCAGCTATTTTGTTTTTGAACCATTCATTTTGTATGTGGTTCACAAAATGTCTTCTTAAACGATATTCCAATAGAATGTTTCTGTGAACTCAACTTTGCATCACCATCGCATCTCATCATGGCTCTAAGACAATTCACAGGAAAATTCCTCAACAGTTTTTATGTGTTTGAGGCTACTTTTCCGTTTCCAAGTTTATTTCTTTAATACAACTGTTAGAAGAAAAGCAGTTTCAAACAGAGCCATCTTTGCGGGCACAGCGTCATTTTAGTGTGAAGAAAACATTGCACATTTTTTTTACTTTACGAAGCATTACATAAGGCTGCAAAAAATAAATTGATCCAAAAAAATCCACCATATGATTAACAACAATCAATTCCTCTTTTTTCGTATTGTTAAATATGCGCATCAAAATTGGTAGAGTTTATAAATGTAATGACAACTTTTTACAACAGAATCAAAAGTTATTTTTGGGTCAGCCAAGGTTGGGGTACCGAGGTTTTGCCAGCAATATTTTTCCTGCTGAGTTCAAGCAAATGTAATTGGCTGAAAATAACAATGGTTACCATTTATATAAACTATATGTAAGATAGTTTTTTACAATTAATAATTTCAACATAGGATCACAAATGAAAACATAATCAACAAAACATTGATCTAAATTACCTCCTCTTCCGAACTTCTTATCTACTCAACATTAATAGCAGGAAAGCAACTAATATAAAATCATCATCATAATCATTATAATCATCATCATCATCGACATCATCATTGTTGTAGTTATCATTGTCATAATCATGACTTATATTTTTCATTTTCTTTTATGCAAGTTTTTTTTATTGTGTTCACATAATGCGTTTGCTTCAAATGATTGTAAATATGTTCTTGTTCGTCATATCTTTACGGTTTGTCCGGTTTTCATTAAATATTTTGATAAAATATTTAATTTTTCATGACCAGAAACCATAACATCAACCCGAGACCGCGCCAAAAAGAAAGTACCAAACGAGTTTGATGTGGCCCCAGGTCAGCCCCTTAATGAAGAAGCAAGCGATCAAAGATCGGAAGAAAGAGGATTGACAACCAACAATTACTCCAATGCACTCAACCACAAGAAGAGCGAAAAACCATCAGATGTCAGTGCTCATTCATCTTTCAACACATTCAACAACGCCATCAGTAACAACAGAAGTGACGTAAACAACAACTTGTCCAAAACACGAAATCTGGATCCAAGTAGCGGTAGTAGCAAAAATTCAAACAATCTCAACAACCACAACGAAATTACTTCATCTTCCATTACTCCAAGCAAGAAAAATTCAGAAAAAACTCAGCGGAAGGAGGATTTCATCGACCAAAGCAGCGGTAATAACACCACCAACAACAATAATGCCAGCAACAGCGGGACGAAACAAAACAGGAGCAACACCAGCAAAGAAGGCAGCAGTCAAAACAGTAAAGATCTCAATTCGACAAAAAGTAACAACACCAACAACAGCAACAGTAATAACAACAATAACAATATTTCTGCAGCATGCGTTTCATCAACCAACGATCACCACAACAACAACAATAAATGCAAGTTGTTGCTTCATAAAACAAAACGCAAGCCAAGAATTCTTTTCTCGCAGGCTCAGGTTTATGAACTGGAGAGACGATTCAAGCAACAAAGGTTGTTGCTGTTATTGTTGCCATTTTTGTTATCTTTTTAGTTTATTAAATCATTTTTTATCAGGCACATCGCATATCAGCAAAAAGTAATATATTTATATAAACTGTTCTAAATTTATTAGTGGGAAGGATTCATATTTCTCGTTGTTGAATATTTATTATTGGATTTCTTTGTTCTATGAGTATTGATTCGGCTAGTCATAAATTTAAATGGTTGTCATTGTGATGTAAGATTTCAACATTGTTGTCCAAGATTTTCCAAGTAATTTTCTGTCATAATTCTGTCCTATTCAACCACATTCCCGCCATGTATTTTGTTATAGCCTATGCCATTCATTGAAATTTGTACATTGTGTATATATGTATGTCCAATGTATGTAGGTAAAATAGTTACGTGATGGTTAGGGTCGGCTGGTGCTGTTTCGCAGTGCGTGTAGTGATCGGGTTCGAATATCGCACGTTTCCTGTGTGATGCGTCGTTTAGCAAGTTTAGGCCGTTTGAGTGTTGAGTGTTGTAGGTCTTCGTTAACTTTTTTACGCAATTACACGAGGTGTCATATCTATAGGAATGAATAATTGCATGTAACTCGTTGTGTATGCCTATGCGACTGAATACATGCAACTTTAAAACCCTCTACTAGTTGTGATGATTTATTAAATTTAGTAATATTTGTATCATTATTATTATCATTTTCTTTTTGTTCTTTTAATTGTAATTTTGTATAAATGCTTGTCAGAAATCTTTGTATCATATATGTGTTAACATGTATGAATATAAATGCATAAATTATTTATTTTATTTCACTTTCTTTCCTATTTGTTTTCATTTTATTCTTGCCATGCACATTGCACTACTCTATGCATTTGAGAGGGTTTGGTTTTCTTAAAGAAGAAAAATGTAATATTTATTAGCATTAAATAATATTATAATATAAAATAAATTAAATAATAAATGTTAAATAATAAATTATATTGATTAACTTAAAGTAAATAATATGTACTCGCACTTACAATTGAAGGTACCTGTCAGCACCAGAGAGGGATCAGTTGGCCACAGTCCTCAAGCTCTCCTCTCAACAGGTCTCTCAAATTTTTCATTTCAATCCTCATGAACATTTTCATTTCAGCGTGCCTTTTATCACATATATTTTAAAATTTGGTTAAAAGTTTGATTAAATGAAAATCTGTAAGAAACCTTCCAATTTCATCATCGTTAGTACCCATCCAATTTCGCAGGTAAAAATTTGGTTTCAAAATAGGCGCTATAAAATGAAGAGACAAACTCAGGACAAAAATCTGGAGCAGCTAACAATTATGCAACAGCAGCAACAACATTCAGCATTGCACTCTCCCAGAAGAATTTCTGTGCCGGTGCTTGTAAGGGATGGCAAGCCTTGTTCTAACAACTACGCCGCCAACAACAACATGATACCGCACAACATCAACTCGACTACAACGTTGTCGTCATTCGTTGAAAATCACCTGACGGCGCCCGGCAACAACAACTCCTGCTGCATCTCGCCGTACAGCACAAATTTTCAACATGGCGCCAACTTCAGCCTGCCCTACCAGTCTATGCCTCACCATGTCGAGTACGCCTCGTACCCACCCGTCGGCCAGCACCCTTTCGTGCCCAGAAACAACTCGAACATTTTCGCGCAGGATTATATCACCTACAACAACGACAAACAATTCTCACCGACCGCACAATACGCCGCCGACAGGACATGGCCTCTATGACAACTGAACGTGCCCGCTGAACGTGCGTGTTCATTCTCATCGCGAAGAAGCAAGATTTCATTCAGCGACATCTTTCTTTCTTCTAAATATATTTTCTTGAGAGAATGATTATTTATTCAAGAACTTTTTAATGTAAAAATTTCTAAAATATGGAGTGTGTGTACAATGAACAAAACAATTGTTCAACCATGTATATGTAAAGTAAACCTACATGTTAAAGGTTTGAAAATTTTTGTAGTTACTCATTCTTCAACCATTCACTGAAAATTTATATTTTTCAAACGAAAATCTTTTTAAAACCGATAAGATTGTTTATACAATATTTAAAAAAGAAAATACTTGTCGTAATTTTATGAAAATAATAAACAAACTGCTAAGAATAAAAAAAAACAAATTAGAGGAATGAATGAATGAATGAATGAATGAATAAATGAACGAACGAACGAACGAACGAACGAACGAATGAATGAATAATTAAACGTGATGTTGCTTGTTAATACAACTTCTTTAAACGTTCTGCTATCGAGGCAGATAACTTATCAAATACCTGATGCTTCCACGTGGGTCTTCTATGTGCTTGTGTGCGTTTGTGTTTGCTTGTGTGTATGTGTGTGTGTATGTATGTAGTATTTAAGTGTATGTACACGTGTGTGTATGCGTCGTGTAATTTTGTCAGTGTACATGATCGTATGTTTCCACGGCTTATGTGTGTGTGTGTGTACAGTTAGTATACCTACACGCGTGTGCACGAATTTTCATTTCTGTATGTATTATGTACGTGATGAGTGTGGACTCATTTGAGAATGTGTGTTCTTAAATACAGACGAATAATTAAATTTATTCTAATTGAAATTTGTTTGCTGTTTATGCATTAGTGAGTGAGTGAGTGAGTGAGTGAGTGAGTGAGTGAGTGAGTGAGTGAGTGAGTGAGTAAGTTAGAGTGAGTGAGTGAGTGAATGAGTGAGTGCGTATGGTTGTGTGTGCTTGTATGAAAGATGCATCAGGCTGGTTAGTAGGTGTGCGCCGGTTGTGGCAGTTTCAACAGGATGCTAATAAATAACATGAACGTGTGCCACGTGATCTCGAGCAGATACAAACAAGCAATAAATCTTCATGCAATTAAATCGCTTAAATAAACTGTTTGTATCTGTACGATGTAATCTCTCTGTTCTCTCTCTCACTCTTTTTTCAAGTCATTCTCTCACACTTTCTCTCTCTTTCTCTATCCCTCCCTCCCTATCTCTCTCTTCCTTGCCTGTATTTTCCCCTTTCTAGGCTATCACGTTCTGTCCAATTTTGTTTGATTTTGTTAATTTAAATTTAAAATAATTTTTTCCATATTCATACAAATTGTCAGCTTAAACCATCACAATTTAAACCATGCAAAATTATGGTAGAAGAATTTGTATGTTATAACATCTTATCGAATGAATGTGAGCGTGTGAGGTGATCAGCAAATTGAAAGGCAAGGGGATTGAAGCTCTGCAGCTTAAGTTTGAAACAAATAACTAAGCAGCGTTATTTAATATCTTTTTTATTGCGCAATAAAACATCAGGGAGGGCACAAATCTTCAGCATAACGCAGCATATCACACCAGTATAACATCCTATCACACGACACAATCATCCCCTGCTTCAACACATTCCTCCACCTCATTACACAACACATTTTAACAACAAAACATATTTTTATATACATTAACAACGTAACACATTGCAGCAACAACAACACATAACATTATGACAATACAACACATAATAACAGCACAACACAACACATCACGGAACAATCCAAACTATATGTTACGTCAAAACGCATCAAACACACCACACAACAACAACAACGCAACAACAACGCAACATCAACTCAGCGTATAATCAAAAAAGTTCCTGCTATCAATAAATTCAACGAACAAATCAAAAATTTGTAAAATTTAATTAATTTCAACAAGGGTTAAATTTAAATATTTGAATGTTAGTTGATATGATAATGATGATAACAATGATAAATAAGGTGACGATGATGATGATAACAGACTGGATACAATAATAATAATAATAAAAATAATAATAAAAATAATAATAATATTATAATGATAATAACAATAACAACGATGGAGCATCTATTTATTGTTTGCCTTTATTGAGATGATCAGCCACATTAAGTTAATGTTGTGTCTTGGCAGTGATTGATTATTATTATTATTAATGTTATTGTTATTGGGGGTTGGTTGTCAGTCACTGGAGATAGATATATATATATATATATATATATATATATATATATATATATATATATATATATAGATTAATATATCATCATCATCATTCATTTAGTTGGATTGGATCACTACATTAAATTGATCCATCCATTAATTGCGCGTGTCAGCAGTAAGTCATTTCCATTTAAATGTTGTTTCATTGGCCATCACTCTAGTAGAAAAAAAGTTATATAATATGACAATAAAATAAACAATAATAATACTAACAACAACAATAATAATAACAATAGCAACAACAATAATAATAATAACAATAATAACAACAATAATAATAACAACAATAATAATAACAACAATAATAATAACAATAATAATAATAATTATTATTATTATTTCTCATTAGTAGCATCAGTAGTAGCGGTACGGTAGTGGAAGTAAAAGTAGTAACATAATAAAAGTAATTGTTTAAGAAGTATCAATGTTAGTAGAACTAGTATTAGCAGTAATTGTAGTAGTAGTAGGGGCAGTAATAAGAGTAGTAGTAGTAGTAGTAGTAGTAGTAGTGTTGTAGTAGTTGTAGTAGTAGTAGTAATTGTGGTAGTAGCAGCAGTTGAAATAGTAGTAAAAGTAGTTGCTGCTGTAGTAGTAGTAGTAGTAGTATTAGTTGTTGTTGTTGTATCATCGTCATCATCATTAAAATGCACATCACTTGAATCATCATCACCATCATCATCATCATAATTTTCATAGCTCAGTCTATTAAATTGAATGTGTACACGAAATAACAATACAAAATTATGATTGACGTCTGGTTAGTTAGCATGTTTGTCCTCGGCAAATATTTAATATATTGCTGGTCTCATTTACCTTCTCTCTCCTCCTCTCCCTTCCTTTCCTCTTTCTCTCTATTTCTCACGAATAAACATATCAAATCATATCACGTACCATATATATATATATATATATATATATATATATATAGATATATATATATATATAATTAATATGTATATATATTTTTATATATCATTAATTTATATATATATATATATATATATAAACTGTTCAGTTTTTAGTATTGTCAATTTATTCTTATCAGGTCATTATAAAACTAATTTTTTGCATTTGATAGGACGAGTGAAGAAGAAGAATGAGACGTGTATAGGGAATATAAAATGAATGACTTGTTAGATATTGTGTGTTGTTTGATTAATTAATTGTGATGGTAGGAGGCTGAAGGTTGGCAACCATATTACGCTGGTCGTGCTTTCTAGCCTTTTTGCCCTCGACACTGGATGTTTTCTTTGTACCTGTGCATGTATATGCATGTCTACCGTTGCTCAGAAGACAAGTTGTAATGTCTGGGTTGTCATCAATTAACCTCCGTAATTTTTGTACCGGTATTGCCGATTCGCTTATCGTAACGTTCGACAGACGTGGATTCTTTGCTTTCGAACCTGATCACTGCAAAAGCAAGACTGAACGATATACCTCTACACTATCTCGTTTGTTGAACTTGCCGTCTGATATAACTTTGATCAAGAACTTAGTAGATTTTAACTTTTCATACATTTTTATTTCATGCATAATTTTGCACATTTAATTTTACAAATTGCATTAGTAAAGTATTTTCCAATTTAAATTTTTTTTAAAAGCTGGTGTATTTAGAGCAGTATTTTTTTAAAATCAAGTTAGAACAAAATGAAGTGAACTACTAAACAAATCTTTATTTGTCTAGAAGGCTAAAAATATAAAAAAGTATTTGGCAAATGTAATCATTTAAATAACTTTTTTTGAAATAAGCTTTCAGTCTGCTTTTAATAATGCGACGTTATAGATTGTGGCTAAGGAAGAGCGATAGTTTTCTAAAGAAATATATTGTTGCGATTGCAAGAGGATAGATACTGTAGATCTGCAATTTGTTTATGAGAATCTTGTGATTAATTAGGTTAAGGGCTTTAGATAGATCAAGAAATGTAAGATATCGGAAAGATAGATCAGCAAGATATCGGAAAAGTTGACGGCGGGATGGTTAGTAAAGATATTGCCAATTAAGGTAAAAGAAAAGTTGAAAGAGAAATCAAAGGATGGAAGTATTAAGAAGATAAGGTATTGTGAAATCTTAAAACGTTTGGATTAGAGTCAGATCAGTCAGTCAGTCAGTCAGTCAGTCAGTCAGTCAGTCAGTCAGTCAGTCAGTCAGTCAGTCAGTCAGTCAGTCAGTCAGTCAGTCAGTCAGTCAGTCAGTCAGTCAGTCAGTCAGTCAGTCAGTCAGTCAGTCAGTCAGTCAGTCAGTCAGTCAGTCAGTCAGTCAGTCAGTCAGTCAGTCAGTCAGTCAGTCAGTCAGTCAGTCAGTCAGTCAGTCAGTCAGTCAGTCAGTCAGTCAGTCAGTCAATCAATCAATCAATCAACCAGCCAACCAACTAATCAGTTTGTAAAGCGCTATTACCTTGATGCTCAAAAGCGCTCCTCTGTAAATTTAGCTGACAGATGAGTTTTGAGATCCGGTCCGACTTTCTTAAGTGATGAAAAAGTAGTTAGAGAAGGAGGTACAGAAATCAAGAAAAAGAACCAGCGAAAGAGTGTTTAACACGAGTTAAAAATTAATGAGAACAAGAAGACTATCGTAAACTAAGTGTATGCTGAAATCATACGATTTTTAATCTACTAGATTTGCTAGAATATAGAAAAATAAAATAACTCAAACATTTAAAGTTTAACAGCTTTAAAATTAATTATTTAATATGCCTTTTGAAATTGTATTTTCATGAAATTTTTGATGAGGTCGGTTGAAGACGCGATGTATAGAATTCACATAGAATTTAAGAAATTTAAGTTCAAATTGCTGAAACATTCAAAAACAGTGCTAATCTATAAAACAAATTTACTATATCAAATTAGCATGCCTGGAAACATAAAAGTCAATTGCTACTTTTCATTTGATTTTAAGAGCACGTGAAAAATTGATAGTGTGATGAATGTTGTTTGCTTGAAACTTGTTTAGATAACATTATTATTGACAATTTTAAGGATAAAAGTACAAAATACAAAATGGTCAATAATCATTCTTTTTTACTGACGTCATTAGATTTAACGGCATTTAACTATTATTTTAACAAAAATGAGTTTATTTTATGTTTTTACCACAACAGTTTAAATTAACCTTACTCATCCTACAAATGTGTCCAAAAAATCCCAATTTTCTTTCTCTGACTTTGTCATATACACTTTTCTGTCTTCCAAGCTGATTTCCGATGTTTCTTTCTTTACTTTCTGCCTCCAATTGATTCCCAAAAAATTTCAGTAACACTTCATCTCAAATGCTTCCAATCTGTTTTTGTTTCTTTTCTTTATTGTCCATGTCTCACATGCATAGAGCAAGCTCGGAAAAACGCAAGATTCTATCATTCTCATTTTTGTTTTTATAGATATATTTCCACTTTTCCATATTTCCTTCAACGATGCGAACATTCCATGGGCTATTGTTATCCTTCTGTCAATTTTTTTTGAGCAGTTGTTGTCACTGGTTATAAGACTGCCAAGATAGTGGGTGACAAATTTCATCCATTTCTGTTCTATCAGTATTAAATCTATCATGTTCATTGTTTTTCCGTCTGGTGATTCCCATGTACATTTGTTGGTTTGCCTCTTTGTGTTTGTGACATACAATCGTTGTCCTTCACAAACTCTAGTAACCTTTCCCCTCTATCATTTCTACCTCCTACACCGTATTTTCCCATTACTTCTTGAAATCCAATGTTGTCACTTCCAGTTTTAGCATTCCAGTCCCCAACAATGATCTTGACATCTTTCTTTGGTAATGCTTTCAATGTTTGTTCCAGTTGTTTGTAGAACATTTCAACTTCATCATCCGAATGATCTGTTGTTGGAGCATAAGCAACTATCACAATAATATCTCTTGGATATCCTTTGAATCTGGCATAGTCATTTACCTGGTTGTATTCAATTAATGATCTTCATGCTTTCTCTCCAAGAATCATTCCCATCCCACGAATATGCTCGGTTTCTGTGCCTGATCATAACAGTTTTTCGTTCTCCAATTTTTCACTTCCTGTCCATCTAACTTACACAAACCAATCACATCATATCTAAACCTCTTAAGCTTTTATGGTTATTATTATATTAATATTATTCAATATGGGTTAAAATTTATATATTTTAAATAAAAAAAGGCAATCTTTAAATTAACAACTAGTAAGGTTACTTTCTAAAAAATTACAATGTTTTTTAAAAAAAGTTAATTACGTGAAATCGTGGAATCTTTCAAACCCTTGTTAATTCTTGTTATTCTTGATCATATTTGTAGGTTAGTTAAACCGAAACCTAACAAATTTAAAAGCGAGCCTTTTTTGAAAAAGTTGTGATCGGATGTAAAATATTATATTTTAAATATATAATAATTTAATAATACGTGAAATGTGAGGCATGTTTGTGGATTTGAATCGGTGGACGAGTTCTTGTTGTAAATAAAATAATTCATGAATTATTAATTAGTGATATGTCAATTTCCAGACAACCTACTGCAGATTTTAAAAATGAATTGAGTAAATCAATTTTAGATGAACTTTTTGACAGTAGTGATGAGGATGGCAACTTCATCTCTGGAAGTGTAAGTTCCTCGCCGGCTTCTAAAAAGTTGCGTATTTCTGGTAAGAATTCAATCTAGTTTGTTGTTAGTAGTCATTTCATTTTATTAGTGTGGCAATGATTGCAGGTTGAACTTGAAAGAACCTTGCCTAACATTTATTTACAATTTTATATTTTATTTTAAATTTTATTAATTAACATTTACTTTTTGTTTTTTAACTATTATCTTACTAGCAAACATTTGATTAATTTAATTTCTTGGCCTCTCCCTCATCAAATTTTTATAATATTGGCTCCCTGCTTCAACGTTATTATTTAGATCCGCCAGTGTGCATACCAAAGTTTGGTATGTACACTGGCGTGTCATAACCAAACCAAACAAAATTTCGTTTTATTTTTCAAATTAGAGATTATTTTTTTTTTTAAAATGACAACAATGATACTATAATAATTATTAGTAATTAATATTAAGGATTTTTATAAACAAAGATAAAAATAATAACAAATTTAAATGGTTTTTTCATTTTAGTTTGTATATATTTCATTTTTTTTATTCAATCTGAAACATCACATTTTTTAATTAAAAATTAATAATTATTAAAAATCCTTAATTATTATTAAGGATTTTTATAAACAAAGATAAAAATAATAACAAATTTAAATGGTTTTTTTCCATTTTAGTTTGTATATATTTCATTTTTTTTTATTCAATCTGAAACATCACATTTTTTAATTGAATTGTGTGTTAATGTTTCTGAGCTCTTAGCTAGTATTCACTGTACCAGAGAAAAAAACTATTATATATGCCACTGTACAGAAGAAAATTAGAACTTACATCACACTGATTCATTAGAGATGTTAATTTAAAACATGAAATAAAAAAGATAATAATTGTGGGGTAACAAACACAGTATATGTAAGTACCTTATAAATGTCTAAAACTTTTATCTGTCTAGCACAGGGGTGGGCAAACAAACTAGGTCGTCAGTCAGACATTATGAACAAATCTTAAAAAATTCTTCCCTGGGTCGAAAAAATTTGCAATTCAAGTACATATGTGACCCTTCAAAGGTAATGTGGCCCTCACAACACAGTTTGCCCACCTCTGGTCTAGCATAGTTGCATTCATCTATCCTTCAGCAAGTTTAACTATTTTAGAATGTGCAGAGTGCAGCACAGATGTTTGAAGATTGGAACTCCAGACTTGCCGATCATGGATTCAAAGTCAACATCAGCAAGACCAAAGCAATGAACACTGATGAACCAATCCAATCCACAGCTACTGAACGATGGCCTAGTTCAGTTTGTAAAACCGGTGTAGGTAACAATTCAATCAAGTGTCAGCAGTGTAACCAGTGGTGTCACAAACGTTGTTCAAAAATAATTGGTAATTTATCTAAAGTGTGCAACTTGTTTGTCCTGCTTGCATCAATCCACAGCAACAAATTTGAAATAGCAATGTTTTTGAAGCCATGAAGTAGAGAAAGTCACATCGTTTCAATATCTAGGGGAGGTTCTGGATTGTAATGGAACAGCTGAAGCTGCCGTTCGAGCACTCTTATGTGCAGCCTGGAATAAATGGCATCTCCTTGCCTCTATATTGATTCGGCGTGACATCCTACTACCACTATGATCAAGACTTTATAAATCTGTGATACGTCCTGTGTTGTTATATGGTGCAGAAACAGGGCCAATGACAACCACACTGAAACAACAACTTCAACGAACCGACATGAAAATGCTCCGATGGATTCAACGAATTAGTCTGAAGGACCACATCAAATCTACCGAAATCCTGCGTCGTGCTGGTTTAGATGATATAGAGGACGAATGCCGGCAACACCGTCTGCGATGGTTTGGTCATGTCAAACGAAGTGAAAACAGTGCCATAACTTCTCTTGCAGATGTTGAAGAACCTGGCAGACGTCCCAGAGGCCGTCCAAAGAAATCCCGGTCGCAAAAAATCGAGCAAGACATGAAAGCTCTAAATTTAAATGAAATGGATACAACTGATCGTCTAATTTGGCACAAAAATTGATGGCAAAAAAAACAACGTCCTACCTCGGGGAATTGGGTCTCTGGACGCTAAATGAAGATTGGTTGATTGAATGATTGAAGTTTAATTATTTTAGAATCTTCTCCACATCTATGTTTTTGGTTCTTGTTTGCTTGAATGCTAAATATTCTAAGTTGGTCATTCTTTAATGATACATTTACACTCTCTGATGTTCTTTAATTCACGCAAGGACTGAGAATGTTGATTCACACATTGCTCTTACTGCATGCCAAAGTGTTTAGTGATAATAGCAAGCTACAATGGTTTTCAAAATCATTCCTACATTTGTATCAATAAATTTTATGGAAAAGTTCAGAAATCTTTAATTTATTAAAAAACTCTTAGGTAAAAAAGGAAGACTATGTTTTTATTAGATTTCAAGTTGGGAAAGACCTTCTGTGTAAAACATTTTTGGAAATTTAAATTGAAGATCATATCTAAAATGTTAATTTTTGAGGTTTTTATATTTTTTAATGTCAACATCATAATGTCAAATGAGATTTTGCACTAATTTTTACAAGTTGTGATGTGCAAATCTTTGTGTTTATGTGGTTGATGATATGAACATTTTAAATTAATGTTTGATTGATATTTTTACGAAATTTAAAAATTTTTTTTCAGAGGAAAAAGTAAACTCTAATTCTAAATCTAGAATTTCTATCTTGGACAAAGTTAACAAAACTCTAAAGTGTAATGCTAAGAAAAATGCTCATCCAATTCTCAGTGGTAACAGTGTGCAGGAGCAACTGAACACTGGTCAGTCATCATCATTAAATCATGCACCCATCAATTCAGTGGCAAGTGATGAGCTTCTTCCTTGTGAAAGTTGTCATCTTTCTCGAACCAAATCTGTAAATAATGATGAACATCTTTTCTTTGGATTGCCATCAGAATTGAAAAAGTTGTTGTGGATTCATAGGAACATATCCGATTTATATGGTTTATATTCAAAAAAACCTGTTCTATAATAATTTTACTCAAACTTTATGGTCGGTGAATTTTTATTACAGAGTGGCAAAAAGAATGTCTGATGTTGGAGCACAATTCAGCTGGTAGGAATCTCATATACTCCCTGCCCACCTCTGGTGGTAAGACACTGGTGGCGGAAGTTCTCATCATCAAACAGTTGATTGTCAATAAGAAAAATGCTCTATTTATTTTACCCTATGTTGCTATTGTTCAGGAGAAGGTGGAAATTTGTGTTAGGTTGCTTATAACATTTGTTTATAATATAGAAATGAAATGTTTGTCATGATAGGTTAAAAGTCTTTCAATTTTGGGAGTGGATTTGAATTTTTTGGTGCATGAATATGCTGGTAGCAAGGGCAGACTGCCTCCAGTGCGACACAGGAAACAATCATTGTATATCGCAACAATCGAAAAGTCAGCATCCATCGTCAACAGCCTCATAGAGGACGATCGACTGAGTGAGATTGGACTGGTTGTCGTTGATGAGGTGTCTATTTTTTTCTATCATTGTGGCTTTCTTATCACTTTCATATTTAACATTGTTATTTTGATGATTACACTCTTCTGTTAATAATTTCATAAATGTGGTCAAGTTTTTTGAATTTGAATATTATGTTACTGGGTTTGTGTTTAATAACTTGGCTAGTAATTTAAAAACTGATATATTGCCAGGTTATTTATTCAAAATGAATACCACAATATCTTTGTATAAAATATATTGATTATAAATTGTCATCATTTGATGTCTTCACAATTTGAGGTTAGTTCATGTTACAAGATTTTTTTTATTCTTTAAAAAATCAAGATCTGACAGATGCAGAAATAGTTACAGCATGCAATAATATGGTAATAAAAAAAAATAAAAAACGGAGGAAAAAATGTTTAAACATGAAAAGTATTGAAAATAAAATAAAGTAATGGTATAAAAAGGCAAATAAATAAGTAATTTGTTAATGGACTAGATACTGACTTAGTGAGTTAGTTGGGTGATCGATAAGTAAAAACTATATTGTGTGAAAGATAAAGTTTTTTTGTGTGCTAAAATGTTTGAGGTGTCTCGTGATGGTCTTTTCCTGATATGATGATTGAGTGGTGACTTGATGTTTATGATAGCTAAGATTCAGTTTAGATAACCAACCAGATTTGCCATGCAATATAAATTCCAGCAGAAACACTCTAAAGATATAATTTAGGTTATTAATTCATTTACAACAAACGTAGCACCACTAATTTTTGTTACGATTATTTTAAAGTTTTCAATGATCTTCTATGTTATTTAAATAAAATTGATTCATTTAGTTTGCTGAAGAACTGCATGATAACATTTAATTTTTATCTTCCTATTCTGTTTTAGTCATTCATTTAAGTTGAATGCTTTAGTTTTTGCCATTTTATTGAATTAGAGTTTAACAGATATCAGATATTTATCAGATTGTCATAATTGTTCATTCTGTTCTAGTTTTTGAATAATTAGGTCAGTAAGAATTCGGCGTTTATTGGTTGCTTTGTTGGTTGCGCCTGTTTTTGTTTTAAATGAAGTAAATTGGATAAAAAATGGTTTGCTTTTATTTACTTGTTGAATTGTTTGCAGCTGCATATGATCGGCGATGGAACGCAGAGGGGTGTTACGTTGGAATCAACACTGACCAAGTTCATTCATTGCTCTGGTGAATAAATTTGTGTCCGTTTGTTATTGTTCTGCCAATTAGGAGTGTCAAACACATTCAATCAACGAGTTATTTTTATCAAGGCTGAATTATCACGAACAGCACATTCTGACACCAGTAGACCTCTTTGATAATTGAAAAAATTTGAGAAATTTATTCATTGATTTATATAGTTTTTTAGGGATTACGTCTGATGAACATGAACGCCATTCGATTTTTAAAATTTTAGATATGCCATTTTAAATCCACTTTTGTTGACATTGGTACAAAAAATTGCATCAATTGTTTGACACTCCTGATGATGAGGATGAAGAACAAATATTTGGTTGAATGTTCAAGTTGGATGCTGTATATTTTTTTACTGTTAAGTTGTATGCCATATTATCATTAGTTGTGTGATAATGTTTTGGTACATTTTTCCAATAAGATATTGTCCCATAAACAAACAAACAAATCACTGACTTTTACAGCATCAACTCAGATAGTGGGCATGAGTGCTACCCTGAACAACATTGAAGATCTGCAGGCCTTCCTTCAAGCACTCATTTACACCAATGACTTCAGACCTGTGAGTTTCTAATAAATTGTTTGCTTTATGTAAATTCTAACATAATTTTTAAGTCTAACATGCTTTTAATTGCAGCGTCCTGGTTAATTTCTCAACTGCCAGCCTTCATATTTCGCCTTGTTTTTTAACTTGGCCAATAAATTCTTGTTCATAATTTTTTGTTTCTTCATTGAATGACTGATGTCATCAAAGAAAGCATATGGCTATGAGAAGGAAAATATGTTAAGATTGTTTTGGAAGGCTGTATTGTCCTGGTTATGACATTAAACTGACCCTCACTGCCTTGTGAGTGATGTTGGATCATCAAAGGCTAGGCCCACCGCTTATAACTGTGGTTGCGTAAGGAAGGGCGTCCTGCGTAAAAATTAGCCAAATAAATTACTTATGATGACAGAAGTGACAATGGCCCTCAGTATCCGGCAGAATGGCGTCGAGGGGTATTTCGGTTTCATCATAGGTAGCCAAACGGCAACCCCCGATCTCGGGGAAAATGTCGTCTAAACGTGTGTTGTTGTTGTTGTTTTGGAAGGCTGTATCTCAAATGGGCCAGGTTACCCATTCACTCTGTTGAAAACAAGCATCGCTGAATGCCAAAAATGTGCTATTTTTCCGGGCAGGGTTTGCGTAATTGATGGGTTCGTTTAATATAGACGTAGCAGGGAATAATTTATCGCTAGTCATATTCAAATTTCCATCTACCTATTTAATTTCCAGCTACCAAATTTAATTCTTAACAATCTTTCCATTTTGGTTTAGAAATGTTTATAGCTATTGAATTAATTTTTTTACTGTTTAATAAATATAACTCCTTTCCTTATTTGCATTCCATGTTGAAAAAAATCAGAAGAATTTATTTGTAACTATGATAACTTTATTGTGACATTAGGGTTCATATAATTCTTCTTGACTCATGATCATTTGATAACCGCAGGTTGAGCTGAAGGAGTATGTGAAAGTGTCGGATGTGTTGTACGAAGTGAGGGATGCCATGCCGACGCAGGTCTCCCCAACAATGAAGGATTATAATTGTATTCATGACAGCCTCACTTTTAAGCGTGTCATTGATTTTCAGGTTCCTTCCTCGTCTCATAGTATTTTCATTCTAAAATCATTAGTCTGATTAATTGAATTAGTTATTTAAAATTTTTTCATAATTGTTGATAATTTCTAACATTTTCTCTTGTTATGTGGTTAATAATTTCGTGTTCTACAAAATGTTGATGCACAGTACAGCAAAGAAATGTTGTCAGACGATCCGGACCACCTGTACGGACTGACCATGGAGGTCGTCCCAGCCGAATCCTGCCTTATCTTTTGCCACTCCAAGAAGAACTGCGAGAATGTTGCTCTCCTAATTTGCCACCTCATTGAAAGGTTTCTCCTTGCTTGTTCATCTTCTACTCTTCTAATCTTACTTGTACTAATCTTCTACACACTGCTTTGTGTGACTGATTCAAAGTTTTTTTTTATAGAAACAAAATTTATTTATGTAGAAAACTAGAAAACTATGTTAAATAAATTATAAAACATTTCTTAATATATTTATTATATATATATATATATATGTATATATAATAGAATAATATATATATATATGTATTGTTGTTGCTGCTGCTGCTGCCGCTGTTAATGGTGTTGTTGTTATTATCGTTATTGTTATTATCACCATTGTTAGATTGCTGGTTGATCTGATTAACGTTATTGTTGTTCATTCTTCGAGTTGGAAGTGTTGTTGTGATTCGTTGTTGGATGTTGATGGAAGGTTTTTCAGATTCGATGAAAATGGCTTCTGCGATTCTTAGGTTGTAGTGCTGTTGATTGTTGTATAAAATTTTTGTGTTGTTATCTAGAAGGTTTCTAATTATTGAGGTGTTGTGGAATGTTTCTAGATGGTTTTTTATTGCACCTTCTCTTTTGTGCATAGTAAGTCTATGCGATAGTGTTGTTATGGTCATCCCTATAAAGGAAGTTTGAAGAGGCGCACAGTCATCAAGACAACTATCGTTTATTGCATCGTCTCTTTTGTGCATAGTGAGTCTATGTGATAGTGTTGTTGTAGTCATCCCTATATAGGAAGTTTGAAGAGGCGCACAGTCATCAAAACAACTATCGTTCAAAATTTTTAAATTTTTAGTTGTTAAAATTTTTCACTGGAATTTCATGTTTCTTCGAATTCATTTGTATATATTTTTAATTTCTGCAAAATCTCTATCTGCTGTTTTCAGATTCCGATCTCTAACATACAGCGTGTTTGAATCAGCAGACCTTAGACGCCCAAGTGATGACATAGATGAAACTCGAATACACTTATCTTCTAAATATTTCTGAGCCAGACCATTCAAACTTTTAAAACCATTACACCCAACTTGAACATGATTCTTTGTTTAACACGCAGCCAATGCAACTCCTTTAGAATTGGTGATGCATGATCAAATTTTAATTTGCGATATATCATTCTAGCAGCCTGATTCTGTACCATCTGAAGTTTAGACAACAGTTTATCAGCTATGCCATATTGAAGACTGTTACAATAATCCAATCTAGAGTTGACGAAAGCATGTACTAATAGAGTCATTATATCTCTATCTACCGATTTTGTGACTTGACGTAATTGACGTAGTTGGAACATACATTTTTTAACCAATAGACTGACTTGTGGACCCATTGTCATACGGGAGTTCATCACAATTCCCAAATTGGTAACCGTTTTACTGAAACTTATATCAGTCATGCTGATGTTAATCGATGAAGGTTCAACCGCTGACGTTTGTTGCCATGTACCAGCCAACATGAACTGAGTCTTAGTCTGATTCAACTTTAGCCTACTTTGACCCAGCCGACATCACATATAGTTTTTGTCAGTTTCTCTAATACGGTAGGCATCTCATCTGGGAAACATGAAACGCAAATCTGCATGTCATCTGCGTACTCATGGCAATAATAACCATCTTTATTCAGTAAATCCAATACCTCTGCAACGTACAAATTAAAAAGAATCGGTCCAAGAACAAATCCTTGAGGCACCCCTGACGTAAGTTTCATTGGTTCCGAGAGACCACCTGAGTAAGAAATCTGCTGAGTCCGACCAGTAAGAAATGATTCGAACCACGTTAACGCAATCTTATTTAAACCATAACAATATTTCAGTCTGTCCAGCAGAATTTGATGATTTACAGTATCGAACGCCGAACTCATGTCCAGGAATGTCAACAAAGTTACTTTTTACATTAACTGCTGAATAAACATGAGAGAATATATCCGATACAGCTGTTTCGGTCGAATGAAACCTGCTGTATCCAGATTGATGCAAAGGCCAAATACCATTTTTATTTATATGATTATTTAAAACTAACTCAACGGAACGTTCAATAATTTTAGAAACGAAAGACAAATTTGACACCAGCCTATGGTTTATCAGATCTGATTTATCTAATCCTGTCTTCTTTAGAATTGGCGTGACAATTGCATGCTTGCAAACCTGTGGCATTACATCCTTCGTTAAGCACATGTTGATTAAGTCCGTTAAGTAAACAATAAAACAGTCAGCATATTCTTTGAATACATGCGTCGGTATTGGGTCGAGTGAGCATGACTTCGTAGGTGACGAATTAACAACTTTAGATATCTATTCTTCAGTCAACACTGGAAACGATTCGAGTGGAAACATAATATTAGTATTAGTAGAAATAACTGGAAAATTAAAACATTCAAATAACTTTTCGGTCACTTTCAACTTGTCAGCAAAAAATTTTTTAAAATCATCGGCGCTATGCATTGAACCAACTTCATTTTCAACACTTGTCTCTTTTCCTAATAATTTATTAATCGTTTGCCATAAGTATTTGGAATTATTTTTAAATTAACATGTTTTCGCGAACCAAAAACTCCTTCGTTTCACTGAGTAACAAACATTCTTTTGTTTCATTGCCAGTACCCAATCAACTTTATCATTATAACAACCAGTAGTTCTGAACCTTCTTTCTTTTTTTCTTTCATTTGCTTAGCCTTTTTGCAGTCACTGTCAAACCATGGGGCAGTCGGGACATGTTTCCATCAAACTTCATGAAGTGGAGCAACCTCGTCAGCAATTTTTAAAAGCTCTTCATTGAATATTTTAAAACCCAATTCGACATCACCATCCTGACCATAATGTTTCGAGATAGGTGAGCACCTCAAAAGCTCAGTCAGACGTTTTTTATCCACTCGTTTCCAGGATCTGGTCCACGATTTCTTGAAAATGACTGGAGTCGAATTGATTAAAAATTGACCAGTTACTAAACCATGATCTGAATAGATACCAGATGGGTACACCAATATATCTTCTAACAAAAAATCATCCGATGTGACAATCAAATTAATTCGGTCGGAATACATTTGATGTGGTAGCCGTCACCACATATGCCACAACAAATTAACTCTTTGTTACTTCCTTTGATTTTAACTTTGCATTAGTTGCATTTATCTTTCGACATATTCAACTGTAAAATATGTCACTATATCTGATAGTCTGATAAAACAATACATGTTATCCTATAACGTTTATAAAATTAAATTCCTTCTCTTGTCGGTTAAACAAGAATTTACAATTAAATCAACTTAACTTAAATTAATTGAGACAAAATTAACTTCAAACAATTAGCGCAAACAAATTATATCATTAAATTCGTCAAAATTTTCTCTATCAAATGAAATTAAATTTAAACAAAATACTCGATTTTAAACTATGAAATTGAGAAAAAATACGGAGCAAATCAAAATATATATATAGTTTTCTTATTACATTTTTAATATTTTAACCAAATTCTTGTCGTCGTTATTTATTTTATTAAAGTTAAACTTTGGGGAACTGTATATTATTCTAACTTTAATAAAATGAATAATGACGAAAATAATTTGGTTAGAAATATTGAGAAATGTAATAAAAAACTATTCAACGCTAGAAATTTGGTAGATTTCATAATTTACTGCATATATTATTATTATTATTATTATTAGAGAATTTATATTCTAGCGCCCTTTATAACTTCTCAAAGGCGCTGCTTAAATCATGTGGTTTAATTTATAAAAAGATGAGTTTTTAGTTCTTCAAGGAACTGTTGAAGATTAATGTCACGTTTAGATTATTGTAATTCTCTTCTCTATGGTCTTCCTTCCTACATTTTAACTTTACTTCAAAGAGCCCAAAATAGAGTTACAAAAGTTGTTTTAAATATCAGTAATTTATCATCCAGCATAGATTCATTCATCCAACTACATTGGTTACCAGTACGTCAACGCATTATATTTAAACTCGCCATCTTTACGTCTACTTAATACATCTCAACCATCATATCTTCATCAAATTATATCGCGTCGTTCATCAATTCGTCAACTTCGTTCGTCTTCATATACTCAGTTGCATCAATTTATCAGTTGTTATCAAATGTTTTACGTACAGCTCTTCTTCCATATGAAATGGCTAGCCTGCCATTATTCGTCAACAGCCAACCATCAAACTTTTTAGGAAACGATTAAAGAACTTTTTGTTTATCCAGGCCTATGGAAACGTCAAAAGTCATTGTTTATACAAGCGTCCCTGAAGCTACGCATAGGACGCGATACATATTAATGATAATAATAATAAAGAGTTAATCCAGGCTGACGAAGGTGGCGTGGTAAATTATTCCAAACTGCTAAACCAGCGACGGCAAAATTCCCTTTTTCTACACCAATTGTGTTTTTGGTGCCGATAGAAGATCCTGACAATCTGAACGTAACTGGGGACGTTGAGCAGGTGTAAACCTATGCAAACACTTGTCAGACAGGTAACTCGGACTGAGACTATTCAAACATTTGAATACGATAATGGCAATTTTGAATTTGATTCTTTGCTAACAGTCAGTAAGTGCAGGTTTAATAGACTATGACTCACATGGTCTATGACTCACATGGTCTATGACTCTCATGGTCAAACATTAATCTTCCAGTAACTATTTTAGCTGCTCGATTTTGAATTGACTGTAGTTGGCATTAATCTAAACAATAACAATAGACTAATAAATAGTATTTTAGCAAACAAATCTAAGACGAATATTCTTTTTTCACATATTATTTGTAAATGTCCAAGGGTATGGAACTATATAATGAAATCAATCAATCTTCGTTTTGCGTTCAGAGACCCGGTTTCCCGAGGTAGGACGTTGTTCTCTTTGCCATCAACTTTTTGCGCCAAATTAGACGATCAGTTGTATCCATTTCATTTAAATTTTGAGTTTTCATGTCTTGCTCGATTGTTTGCGACCAGGACTTCTTTAGACGACCTCAGGGACGTGTGCCCGGTACTTCAACATCTGCAAGAGAAGTTATGGCACCGTTTCCACTTCGTTTGACATGACCAAACCACCGCAGACGGTGTTGGCGGCATTCGTCCTTTATATCATCCAAACCAGCACGACGCAGGATTTCGGTAGATTTGATGTGTTCCTTCAGACTAATTCGTTGCATCCATCGGAGCACTTTCATGTCGGTTCGTTGAAGTTGTTGTTCCAGTTTGGTTGTCATTGGCCATGTTTCTGCACCATATAACAACACCGGACGTATCACAGATTTATAAAGTCTTGATCGTAGTGGTAGTGGGATGTCACGCCACATCAATATAGAGGCAAGGAGATGCCATTTATTCTAGGCTGCACGTATGCGTGCTCGAACGGCAGCTTCAGCTGTTCCAGTTCAATCCAGAACATCCCCTAGATATTGAAACGATGTGACTTTCTCTACCTTAATGGCTTCAAAAACAGTGCTATTTAGAATTTGTTGTTGAGGATTGATGCAAGCAGGACAAACAAAATTGGACACTTTAGATAAAGTACCAATTATTTTTGAACAACGTTTGTGACACCACTGGTTACACTGCTGACATTTGATTGAATTGTTACCAACACCAGCTTTACAAACTGAACAGGGCCATCGCCCAGTAGCTGTAGATTGGATGGGTTCACCAATGTTCATTGCTTTGGTTTTGCTGATGTTGACTTTGAATCTATGATCGGAGAGTCTGGTGTTCCATTCTTCAAACATCTGTGCTGCACTCTGCTCAGACGTGGCTGTTAAAACGATATCATCAGCATATATTAGATTCCAAATGTCACTAGTGCGTATCGGTTTTGTGATTTCTTCCATCACAGTTATAAATAACAGTGGACTGAGAATCGAGCCTTGGTGAACTCCAACGCCGATGTCAAATGCATCTGTTTTTCCAACCGTTGTGCTGACAAGAGTCTTAGTATTTGTATACATTTCCATCACAAGTCGAACAAGATATTCTGAAATGAGTTGTCGACGTAGACTCCACCTGATTGCTTCACGGGGAACTCGATCAAATGCTTTTTCAAGGTCTACAAAAATGTGTGATAGTTGTTGATGCTTTGCGAGGTACTTCTCTTGCAGTTGCCGAAGGATGTGAATTGCATCAATTGTTGATTTCCCCGCTAGGAAACCAAATTGATAATTTCCGATTGTGATGCACGACGTTAATCTTCTCTCAATGATTTTCTCGACAATTTTCAGGGAGTGTTCTAGCAGACGTATACCCCGATATGATGAACAGTTCAATGGATCACCTTTGTCTTTGTATAGCGGGACTGTCATGCTATAGTTCCATTCAGTCGGCATTGAGCAATTTTTCCAGATTTCACGGCAAAGTTATAGTAACGTTTGGATACCTGCAGTACCAGATGCTTTGATAATGTCATTTGTGAATTTGTGAGTCCAGAGGGCCCTGCTGCCTTTCCATCCTTCATAGCTTTCAGAGCTTCTGTAAGCTCCTCTACAGTGATGTCTGGAATCGGACCTTCGATGGGTGGAGCGTCAAAGTTAACATTGATGGGATTTGTTTCGTTTAACAGATGGTTGAAGTATTCTTTCCACTGTAGCTTGATCTCATCTTGTTCAAGAACCATCTCATTTTTGTCATTTTTGATACATGAGGCACCAACTATTTCTTTTTTTGTACGCTTTGCTTCTTTTGCTATACGATACAGAGATTACATTTGTTCACCTTTGCTTTTAGTGAGCCACTCTCTGCACTGATCTGTCCGAGCCAGTGCAACTTGACGTCTTGTATAGTTGTTCTTCTCACGGAAAATTTTATGGTCATCAACAGACTTTGATTTTTGCCATTGCTTGTATGCAACTTTCTTTTCAGCTATTGCATTTTGTACACTCATTCCACCACCAAGTGTCACGTTCATGCTGACGTTTTGTACCAGTTTTCCCACAAACCAGTTGCAGCGTTTATCAAAACTGTTTTCTATGTACTCCAATCTGTACTGGCTTGCGATTGGTGGCGACAATCTGTTGAAATTTTTCTCGATGAATATTGCTTTTCAGCTTCCACGTTTTGATTCTCCGAGGCATTTGTTTAGACTTATGTTTTGACAGTTCGACAACCAGGTCTGCCACAAGGAGTCTATGTTGGGCGACACATGATTCGCCAGGTATAACTTTGACGTTTTTGAACAGCCTTCGGTGTGGTTGCTTGACAGCGAAGAAATCAATTTGCGTGGCTGATGGTCCACTTTTGTATGTTATGAGATGTTCCAACCTCTTTCTAAAATATGTGTTCAGTAAACAAAACCCGTGACTTTCAGCAAACTCAAGGATGCGGTTGCCATCTTCATTCAGTTCTCCATAGCCACAACCGCCATGTACGTTGTCAAAACCATCTGTTTTCTCTCCAACGTGGCCATTGAGATCGCCTCCAATCAGGATTGTTTCAGATTTTGGTATTGTTGAGATGGTGTCAGAGAACGCAGTCCAGAAGTCATTTTTCATCTCTTCTGATTCGCCTGTCTGTGGTGCGTATGCAGAAAAAATAATCATTGTTTGTTTTTCCATGCGAAGCTTGATCCACATGAGACGTGAATTAATCCTTTTAATATCCAGTACTTCTTGGGCTAGCGGTTCTCTGACAAAAATTCCAACACCATTTTTGGCCGTCTTTTGACCATTCCAGAATAGTTTATATTTTTCTTTGTCTGAGTTGACATAACAGACACCATTCGATTTCCATCGGGTTTCCTGAAGGCAGCAGATGTCAATCCTTCTACGCTCGAGCATTTCTGCGATTTCCATGCTGCGGCCAGTCAGTGATCTAACATTGAGCGTTCCAAGTCTAAGTACCATAGGAGAGGGGCCATTCTGAATTTTTCTGCAACATCCCTCCGCTATTGCATACTTCCCAGGGATTCTTGGCACCCCTTGACCACTTGAGGCCTGCTGGGGACTAGGGGCCGTTGTTTTTTTTTGTGATGGCATAAGAGTAATTTGGGGAAAGTTTTTACATCCGGACACCCATCCTGACGACAACCACCAGTTATAAGCGGTGGGCCTAGCCTTTTGCTCAAAAGCACGCAAGGCAGCGTGGATGTCATGTTTTATGTTTTATGTCATGCCCAGAAAAATGGCTTTTATAATAAAAACATACATATGAATTTCAAAAAGAAGTTAAAAAAGTTTCTATTGAATGATATTAATATTGTAAAGAACTTTTAACGTTTATTATATACTTCTGTTTGTAAACTTGAAACATTTTTGTCGATTCTGTTTAGGTGGCCATACTCTTTGAATTTGATTACAAATTCTATTATAGTCGTCCCATTTTCTTCTTATCATTAAAATTTTTTGATTGTTAGAAGCAAACAAAACTTAGTTTCGTTTCGTTTTCTTGTTCAACTTTTTGACATGATGATCCATGCTTATATTTTGATCGAACGTGATCTCAAGATTATTGACAGATGAACAAAACTGGATAACTGATCCAGATATGTCAATAGAGTTGACGCGAATCATTTGCAATTGTTGCCAGGTTCTGACAAGCAGATGCTGACTCACTCTCGTTTAGCTTAAGTCTGTTTTTTTATCCTCCATTTATTTAAATCTTTAACACAGCAAACAGATCTGTGAACTAAATTATCTAATGTCGCTGTTTTACAACAAATTGGAGCTCGGATTTGAGCATCGTCAGCAAAAGTGTGGTATTTAAATTCAAACTTTTCGATGATATTGAACATATCAGCTGTGTTGAGCAAAAACAACAGAGGTCCCCGAGGAACTCCAGATGAAACCACCTCGACATTAGACAATACACCATTGAAGAGAACCTGTTGTTGAAGAGAACCAAGCAAATACGATTTAAACCGCGTTGATGTCGCAACCATTCCAGAAACACGAAAACGACATTTTAATATATATATATTATATATATATATATATTTATATATATATAATACTTTTACTTATTTTCTCCTCAAATCCACCACCTATTAAATTACACGCAGCATGACTCCATCTGCTTTTTAATTATATCTTTCGCACACTCCGTATAAATTTATAACAACATTCTAATAAACAGGAATAACAAAGCGGCAGTGATGAGAGAGGTGATGATGGAAGAAAGAAAGGAACTAGTGAAGAACCTGCGAGATGAAAATGAAGATATCTGTGATGTGTTGAGAAAAACTGTTAAGTATGGAGTGGCCTACCATCACAGGTTGGTCTGCTGCCTGCTTAATGGTTGTGGTCAAGGGTTTTGTTCCTTCACAATTCTATCTTTAATTTTTTCAGAATTTTTAGCAACACAAATTCTCAGCACAGGTGAATCAACGCGTTGTACTTGTTGCATGTGTTAGGTTAGAATCTCTTCACATTCGAACCCATTCACTGCCACAGCAGTCTCAGGCACCTTGACCATTTCACTATTGCGCTTGCGCTGCCCAAGGTTATGGTGTAGTTGTTTGTACGAAGTGGTCCATCATCACAAGTTGTTGTGTGGTTGCTTGACCCCTGCTGATGTTTCTTCACTGTTGTTGTTTAGTTGTTGAGTTTAATTTTGATTGTTGGTTTTTATATTATTCAGTGAACGGATGTAACATTTATTTTTCCCAATGGTTTACTGTTTGAATGTATAAAGACAAAATGTTTGTCATTCTAAACGGATGCTTCCAATTGATTTTATTTCATTAATATCATATTAGCAACATTCAGTGCAAATAAGTTGAGAATTGTTCTCTATGTACTGCTTTTCTATGATATCAGTTCAGAATTTTGTACAACTTTTTAATACTGATGTACCGTTAGTTATATAGGTGCAAAAATAATCACCAACATTATCCAGTTGAACAAAAACATTTTGTGTTTGTGATTTAACGATGGTATGCTTACTAATGATGTGGTTAACAACAAACAGTGGCCTGACATCGGATGAGAGGTTGCTGATTGAAGAGGCTTACTTGAACAAGACTCTCTGCGTACTCGTCTGCACATCCACACTTGCCGCCGGAGTCAACCTTCCTGCTAAAAGGTTGCCCGGTGATGAGATCTGATCGAGATGATGTGTTAACGTGGTGCTTAAATGTGATTGGTGGTAGTTTAATTTCAAATTGTAGTGTCAGTTTTTGTTGTCTGGTAATTATTTTGTGGTCGAGTATGTAACATCCATTGTTGTTTTGCTTCGTTTTTTTATGTGCATGTTGAGTTATTAATGAGTTTTTTGTTATATTGAAGTTAATGTTTCAAAAGTTGAAACGATGCTTTATGGTTTTTCTTTGTGGTTGTGAAATGAAGTGGGGTAACATGTTATTTGCAAATATTCCATATATTTTGAAATGTTGTTTCATCGTCATGTTATGCTTGATGTTTCACGACAAGTTGATATTATATTGATTATGTTTTTCTTATTGTACTTCGTTATGTTATGTCTTATTACGATTTTATACAAATTTATTCTTTTTTCCCGAAAACAAGAGTGATTCTGAGATCTCCTTTCATTGGTCGGCAGATGATGACGAGGACGCAATACAAGCAGATGATTGGTCGCGCTGGTAGGGCTGGCTTCCATTCATCAGGCGAAAGTATTTTGATTGCCAAGCAGCACGATATCAAAGATGTTTGTTCGTATTTTTATCAGTAAAAAATTTTCATCATTTTAGTTGTTTTTTTAATGTTTGCCTCATTTATTTTCAGGTTAAATATTTGATCCAAGGAGCATGTGAAAGTTGTTACTCAAGTCTGGTTGCATATAATGAAATCAACGATACCATTTCTAGTGAGAGCAATAACGCAAACATTGTTCCTGACAACATCGTTGATGATGTCAACTGCAACATCGGTTGTAGCTACGATAAAATTAACAGCTCAAACAACAGTTCCAACAACAATCTCAACAGCAAGAAGAGTTGCAGTTACCTTCACAAGCAATTATCAAATCTCGTGCTGACTTGTGTTGGCCTTAAAGTTTGTTCACGTTTTTTTAAATTTATTTTTATTCACATTATTTAAAAAAATGAGTATGATTTTGAAGTGTATCAGTTTTTGGCCATAGTTTCTCATTAATTTCAATTTCAACGGCAACCCCCGATCTCGGGGAAAATGTCGTCCAGACGTGTGTTGTTGTTGTTGTTCTAATTTATTTCAAAATTAGAGTAGAGAGCAATGCTTTAAGGAAAGCACAGATTGTTCTGACATTCAACTTATTAACTATAAATATTTGATTTCTATGCTTTACTATCTATTTGGCGTGTTGTTCGTTGTTTATGGACGCTTAACAATGTGTGCTTCGTTGAAGGAGCTGTATAAACCAAGCTGCACTGAACTGAAGATGATTTGTGAAAAATTGAAATAGGACTATCTGAAGGATGAATTTAGATAATAATTCTATTTTTAATTTTAATAAATTAGACAGTTTCCAAAAATTTCTAGTGAAATTGAAAAGACAAACTTTGAAATGGTCATTGCCAACAGTTCGGTAGAATTCATAAAATATTGCATAAAATTTGGTCAATCAATCAATCAACCAATCTTCGTTTAGCGTCCAGAGACCCAGTTCCCCTCGAGGTAGGGCGTTGTTTTCTTTGCCATCAATTTTTTTTGCGATAAATTAGACGATCAGTTGTATCCATTTCATTTAAATTTAGAGCTTTCATGTCTTGCTCGATTGTTTGCGACCAGGACTTCTTTGGACGGCCTTTGGGACGTGTGCCCGGTACTTCAACATCTGCAAGAGAAGTTATGGCACCGTTTCCACTTCGTTTGACATGACAAAACCACCGCAGACGGTGTTGGCGGCATTCGTCCTTTATATCATCTAAACCAGCACGACGCAGGATTTCGGTAGATTTGATGTGGTCCTGCGACCAGGACTTCTTTGGACGGCCTTTGGGACGTGTGCCCGGTACTTCAACATCTGCAAGAGAAGTTATGGCACTGTTTCCACTTCGTTTGACATGACCAAACCACCGCAGACGGTGTTGGCGGCATTCGTCCTCTATATCATCTAAACCAGCACGACGCAGGATTTCGGTAGATTTGATGTGATCCTTCAGACTAATTCGTTGCATCCATCGGAGCATTTTCATATCGGTTCGTTGAAGTTGTTGTTCCAGTTTGGTTGTTATTGGCCATGTTTCTGCACCATATAACAACACAGGACGTATCACAGATTTATAAAGTCTTGATCGTAGTGGTAGTAGGATGTCACGCCGCATCAATATAGAGGCAAGGAGGTGCCATTTATTCCAGGCTGCACGTATGTGTGCTCGAACGGCAGCTTCAGCTGTTCCAGTTCAATCCAGAACATCCCCTAGATATTGAAACGATGTGACTTTCTCTACCTTAATGGTTTCAAAAACATTGCTGTTTCGTATTTATTGTTGTGGATTGATGCAAGCAGGACACTTTAGATAAATTACCAATTATTTTTGAACAACGTTTGTGACACCACTGGTTACACTGCTGACACCTACATTTGTTACCTACAGTTTTAAGCCCAACTGGAATTAGCAACGCAGCTGCTAAGCCTGTTTGACAAAACACAATTGTCAGCGATGCACCGTTAATGCACGATTTTATTTGCTTGATTGAAATACATTTTTACGATAGGTCACTAGATCAATCTCTGATGTCCTATCATTTCTCAAGAAGACCTTGTGTTACCAACAATTGAAACAAAAAAATGAACACGCTCGCTTCGAAAGTGACGTCAATTTATGTTTAATAAATTTGATCGGAAGTGGATTGATTGTGGAAAAATTTTTGGTGTCCTTGGATGATGATAATGCAAACAACCACACACATTTGGAGGTTTCAAAGTTTGGCAGAGCAGTTTTCAAAGGTTAGGATTATGACTAATATTTACTTTACTTTACATCGTACTCATTTGCTATTTTGGTATTGCACAACAAATATATCTTGGAATTTTCTGTGTTAATCTAGGCTTGCACGATTTTATTAAAAAAAACATGATTGTCTATAATTTTGTTAGCATATATGGACATTATGTTGCATTTATGATGTCAATAGTTACTGACTGTTATCCAACATTCAGAACCAGCAAAAAAAAGTTTTTTGGCTGGTTTAAGCATGTTGGTAAATCAAAACATTCGTGTCTCATTACATTTATTGATTAGTTCCACATTTAAATGTCTTCGACATGAATGAATACGATTTTAATGTTGAAATCACTTAGCGTTAACTTATCAACTAATCGGTATTTCTTACACAAATTTAAAAATATATTTTTTGTTTTTAAGTATCCAGTTCTAACAAACACAGAGCTGGTTGCATATAGCAACCTTTTCACCTAGTTTTTACTATACCTTTGTGAAAAGGCTGCCCATTAACAGTACACATCTACACCACACATTGCACATACACATTTGTACTGTTGTAAACTTTGAACGCTCGTTACTACCGGCACCATTGTTATAACTTCAAAGATCTCTATTTCTCACACCAGTGGTATAGCTTCCAACGATCATCAAGTTATTGTTATTTTGAAGGTTCAAGATTTCCGATAAATGAACACAATTGCTTCAAACGCAAACTTTTGTGAACGTTTATTTGAATACCAACAGTAATCGAGACATTAAACTAATCCAAGTAACTACATAAATCACATTTACAACTTCGTTTCAAACCTCGCTACTCTCGCCCTTCACATATATAGGAGATTCTGACAATCCAAAAATTACAAATATAGCAACGATAACTAGAATAACGAATAATCAAGATAACAAATAATATAGCGCAATATGACCATTACAGCGGTTATAACAGGGCTGTACCGGATTTGACTTTCTCCTTTTTATTGTGCATCGGTTATATTTTCTGCTGTAACTTATTTATTTATTTTTATAAATTTTTATGGCTTCATTAGCTTGACTACACCAGACATACCCACCACAAACTTTGTTGTATTACATTCCTACCAATGACTAAGTAAATAAACTTTAATTTATTACAATAACCAAATAATTAACTTTAATTTACTGTAAATTAATTTAAAATCCCATTGAAGATTTCTGTAAAAACTATCATATACAAATATTTAATTTGTTTTGTTTTTATTATGCAGAATTGTTTACATAATATTCTACACTTAGAGTTAAACTTTCCTGCCACAAGAACCATACTGTCAGTTATTTGCATCACACGACACAAACTTACTTCTTATGCACAACCAGGGTGTCGCAGTCGCATGGAAAATATCCGATTCCTGCCCTTCAAAAAATTACGACTTTGGGTAAAAATTTCTAACTCCGACTCCTTGTTCCGACTTGCAGAAAATTTTTTTATATTTTTTAAAATTTTGCTTAAATATTATTGCTAAATGAAAAGTACACGTAAAATCAGTCAATGGAATTGTTTTTCTTAGTAAAATAACTTTATATTTTTTAAAACATGCTGAAAAAAATTATGTGATCTTATTCACATGATTAGCTTTTATTTTCGGTATTAACGATGATTGCATATAGCTACACGTAATTATCATCTGAAAAACACGATCATAAAAACTATTTTGAATATCAAAAATGTAAGTATTTGAAAGTTCATGTTAATTTCTGGTGTTGGAGTGAGACGAAAAATATTCGATTTTGACTTCGAATCCGGCCCCTCAATAAATTACGAATTCGGTAAAAATCTCCGACTTTTTAGACACTGTGCACAACGAAGAACTACGCGAGACATGGCACTTCTGCTGATTGAGTTAAAAACAAAAAAAACATCGTTATATTGCATTTCTATCAATAATCTAATAAACTAACAATACTATTTGAATTAATACCAACAGGCTCAATAGATTTAAACATATGCAAGTTATTGTATGATGATTTGAAGGCCAACCAATCCAATGTAGTGCTATCCTCGTATTTGCATCTCATCTTCCTCATCACCCCCTATGAGCACATTACCAATACCAGCAATCCTCTTCACATTGACTGGTGGATCTACATCAATGAGGTAATGTGATATTATTTCGTTTGAACAGATGTGTTAGATTATACATGTCATTTATCGTTGGTTGTTTTGTTTCTTAGTATGCTATAGTGGTAAACGAAAAAAATATGAAAAAATGTTCTTTGAAATTAACTGAAAGTAATAACAACAGCTGATTTCCGGAGTCCAAATAGGACGATATTGTCTTATGTAGGCTACCTTAATCGTTGCAAAAACCAGAAGTACAAAAATTATATTAAATCAAGTAATTAGTAATATCTAAAATAGGATTATTTTATAGTTAATTTGACCATACAAGTTAGTAATAACTTTTGGTCTCTTGGTTCTTTAAATAATTAAATAAGATAATTAAACAGAAATGTACTCATGGCATGAAGATTCTGAGCATTTAACCATATAGTAAAACAATTAATTAGCAGACAATGTATTATGTTGTCATAGAGGTTCAAAGTTTAACATAAATTGCTTCAATCATTTTTTTTAATTATTTCAACTGAGTGATCATTTTAATACTAGCAGGCAAAATATTGTCCCAAATTCTAGAACCTTCATACATACACTTAGTTGAACAAATCTCGATCTACATGTAAAGATATGAAACAAGATGTTTTGCCTGGTTGACAGAGTATGAACGTTCAACCTTAATTTAAAACAATCATTAAAAAAATTACAATAAATTAATAATAAATTTGAACAAAAATATCGATAATAAATAAATGTTCAACTGTTTGACGGTAAATATTTTTAACCCAGAAAACAAATGATCAACATGAGACATTAAAAGTAGATTACAAATTAATGTCTATTTTTGGAAGATTTAGACAGACAGTCTATGTGTGCAAGCAGTTTCTCATTAATAAGATTTTTGTAAATTGGAATGATCTTGGCTTGAACTGATTAAGAAAGTTTGCCGATTTGAAAGACAGGTTGTATGTATTAAAGATGAATTTGTATCCGTGAAAATTATTCAAACGAGCGGTCAATTCATCCAATCACGACTCTGATATAACAACAATGGTAAACTAAAAGAAAAAAAAATAGTTTCAAGTCGTTCATCATGTAAAAAATACTTCTTGCATTTATATGTATGATTGTAAGATTGACATCGGACTTACGCAAACGATCAGCAATCGTATCCTTCGAACATGGGCTAGTGTTACCCAATTAAATTACAGATTTTTTCTCCACTCCTTTTAATTTAAGCGACCTTGTTGTGTCACAAAGCTTTTTTACAGTTTTTTCTTGATTGATATTAAGTAGGCGTCACCGTCTTCTTATTAATGTTATTGATGTTTCTATCATCTGGTTAACGCCTATTAGATTTGTTGGAAACTGTCGTCCAACGAGAATCTATATAATTATGTGTAAGCAAGTCATGAATAACATTTAATACTTCATACTTGTAACGTCATTACCAACCGCATCAATATCCTGCTTGACTATGACTACATCGGTGACTATGACTACATCGGCCCACGTGCTACTTATTTGTTGTGTTAAAAATCATTCAACGATTTATCGAAAATATCATCAACAGCATCAGTTCAGTTTAATTTATCATTATTTTTCAGTACCAATTGTCTTAATTCAAAAAAATCATTGCTTAGCGCAGTTGTTCAGAAAATTTCTAATTTCAATATTCATTTTTCCTTTCTTTTTAGCATGACATCATTCATATTTTTACCTTCTTGAGATTTCTCATTTAGGTACCAACTCCGTGATATTTTTGCCTCTTTTTTGATTTTCCATCGTTTAAACCGCAAAAATAATCTAACGGAAATTAAAAGTTGCTTGTTCGAGGTTACTGATTGTTGCTTGAAAATAATATTTGGTGAGGTAGGTAATGATTATGCGAAATAAGTTTGACGTGCGGTAATGTTCATAATCACACATTGAATTATAACAATAAGGTAGCCTGTCTGAATGGAGATGAGTTGAAACTCATGCATCTTGTCGGAATTTCAGAAGCTTATCTACATAGGAATGCCGTGGGACAGACTGCTAGAATAATGGTATATTTGTGGTGATGTGGTGCTGTTAGTTTGTAGTAACGTGGTGTTGAGTGTGATCAGTTTGTTGTGAGGTGGCGTTATTTTTGGACTGTTTGTTTCGATGTGTTATTTGTTAATTGCATTGTTATTTTCTTAGACATGTTTTGAAATTTTCTTCAATTTGGTGTGTGTTCTTATATTTGTTTTGATGTGACATGGATCAGATAAACTTTTTACATTTCACTTGTTACCCTGTTCGTTTCCTAATACTTCCGAGGTTGGCATACGTCATGCTGTCGTTGTGTTTGGATTGAAATGTTATGCAATCATTTTTATCAATATTACGTGTACAACATTGACAGCCAGATGGGAGCCAATGTTCAGTAAAAAGATTTTATCTGACGCTAATGTTGTATCAGCTCTTCAAGAGAAATTCAGTTTGGAAGGTGGCAGAAAGGTTTCAAGTTTCCAGAGGATTTCTTCAGCAATTATTGTCATCAACTGTTTCATTTGCTGCTTGTGTTTTGCACTTTTGTCAGGTTAGCTACATTTACGTGTGCCTTTGTTATTTATTGTACCTAGTACAAATTATTGTAAAGTTTTGGTCATCTAAATATTTAAAGCGAATGTTTAATTTTTTTTGTAAACATTTTATAGCTTGAGTGGTCCTGCACTGTTGTTTGTGTGGCGTTGGCATGGAATCTTTTTCGGATTTAATTTTAACACACTTTCAGTTCAAAATCATTGCGTTAAAATTAGTAAAAAAGTAAAACTCGAGCGGAAAATGAATTTTGTATTTTTGTAGAGACAAATTTTATTTTTAACGTGGAAACAGGAGCTGGAAGAGATGTGGTGCTACCAGGACTTACTAATTAACTTCACGAAGAAATTATCCCATTGCTGCAGTTTGGAACTTTTGCCTTTGATGGAAATACCTGGCCTCAAAATCGTTAGAAGAAACTTTGCAATTTATTCACATCTCATTTGTTTTATCTGCGCTTTCTGAATTTTTTGACTTTTTAAAAGGATCTTTTCGTTTGATGGGTGACATTTTTTATTTTGAACTGTAATTTAATGTTGCATAATTTAACTTCTCCAAGGGTAGAGCTCGTTTGTTGTACGAGGCTGGATACTCAAATGTTCAGCAGATTGCTTCCATCACTGATCATAAACAACTAGTGAGAAACGTTAAGATGATACCTACAAAAACCGCCAAGCAGCTCATATCGTCTGCCAGGGTGAGTTGGTTTGTAGAGACAATGTTTCTTTCTCGTATCGCGTTTATCAAATCATTGCTGTTATAATTACTATCCGCGTCGGATATTTTCCCCGGGGTCGGAATTTTTGAGGGACTGGTGTCGGAGTTTTACACCTCACTGCGACAAGTGTTATAAATTTGAAATTTTTTCATTTTTTATCCAAAAAATATTTTTTAAAGATAGTGTTTTTAGAAGATAAATAAATGCGTAGCGATATGAAATCGTCTTTAATACTGAAAATAAATGCTAATAATGTGTGTGTTTCGAAACAAATATAATTTTAATATGAAAAACATTGACCGATTTTAAACTGATTTTAAGGTATTTTTCATTTAGCAGTGACATTCTGCTAGTGGGGTCAAAGTGAAGGATAGGAGGAGTAGTACAGAGCTGATTTCAATGATGGGACTGAATGAGGACATTGTGACATTGATAAGGAGATCGAGATTGCGGTGGTATGGACATGTGTTGAGAAGGGATGAAAGGGTCGGAATTAGGCGAGCGTTGGAGTTCGAGGTTGAAGAAGTGATAGGAATGGGTCGTCCGCGATTGAGATGGAGAAGGACAGAGTGAAAGCGGGGTTGCGTGATACTGAGGCGAGTGACAGATGTGAATGGCGTCGAGGGGTATATCGGTTTCATCATAGGTAGCCAAACGGCAACCCCCGATCTCGGGGAAAATGTCGTCTAAACGTGTATTGATGTTGTATTCTGCTAAGTAAAATTATGATACAAAAGCTGACAAATTTGTCTGGGAGTCGGAAATTTTTACCCACAGTCGAAGTCGGAATATTATGAGAGGCAGAATATTTTTTCATTCGACACTGACTTATTCACTATTAACCATAAATTTTGCTAAACTATTAAGAATTTATTGTTGCAAATTTCAATGAGACTATAACAAAAAGCAACTTTTATACATGATAAACATGGTTTCATTATTCATTTAAGCACAAGACCACAAATTGGTTACTATAATTGAATTATTTGTTGGTTGTTTAAACACTGAACAGATGCTGGTTAACGAAAGACTTGAAGAACTGTTGTCAGAAGCTGAGACTCTAAGCACTGGCCGAGCCACAGCATATTCATAATATAGTGATAAAGTTAAAATCGAGTACATGAAATGTTATAATGTCATTTATTTATTTTATTTGAATTAAATCTACTGTATATTTCAAATATCTGATATTTTTAAACTGAACAAAACAAACAGTATTCTACATGCTCTCCATTGCCTATTTTTCATCTAACAATAGCAATCATTAGACAAGAGAGCGCGCCTGACTAAGTACGTTTTCACCAAACAATAGCATCTAACAAAGATATTAGACAAAAAATTGTCTATAAATGATTGTAATAAAGTACTTTTTTGAAAGTAGATTATAACCAAGTGAATAACAAAGTTAACCAAATTAAAACATAACGATAGTGACTTAACAAAAACTTTATATGGTTTTAGGTAAATAGGTGAGGTTTTAGGTAAATAGGTGATACGCTCAGTTCGAGACTGAATCTGCAAGTGAAATACACACAGATCATTCGAGGAACTTAATAATTCAAAAAAGCTAATGATACACAAAAGCAGTTATATAATATTTGAAGATGTCATATGAGAAGATTAATAATGAATCTTGATGAGAGTTACACTTCAGAATGTTTTAGCCAGTTTCCTGCTGCTCAAACGCAGGGTACTTGCTGGTTACTTCAGTCCATGTTATCTTGCCCAGGGAGAGGTCGCTCACAATTTGAGGCAGCTCATCAATCTGATGTTTCGACATTGAAAATTGTTCAAATTTAATACTGAAGCATCAACAATCATTAAAAATCAATAATCCATTGTAACAGGTGTCAATGTGTAAAAATATAATGTTAAAATTATACTAATATTTATAACAATAAGGCGACCTCTAAAACAAATGTCTAAAATTTACGTGGCAACCATGTAAAATAAGAATTTATATACATAAACATACAAAAGAGACTCAACAAAATGCCCAAGTACTTACAAAATGTAAGCAAAAAAAGAACAAAAATGAGGAAACCTCAGCTCTTATTTGTTTCATGGAATCTCTTTCTCTGAGGGTAGCAGTGTGCGGCTCCTTGTTGATTGTATCAAAGTCAACAGTGATGCCGAATGGAATAGCGATCTGGTCCGTTCTTGCGTACCTTCGTCCTATGGCAACGCTGCTCGAATCAACTTTGTGAGAGACATCATGCTTTGTCAAGGATTCAGCTGTGGTGTGGTGTTTCATTTCATTCTTTACATGCTTCATCAATTGTTACGTGCGTCATAATAAGTTCTCAAAATGACAAGGACTTATCAATGTTTCTATTTATATACGAAAAAGGAAATGAAGATGAACAAGCTTGCATGCCACACTCACATAATTTTTTGACAAATGGCAGAAATTCAGCATTGCCACTTAGTGGTAGAACCGAACATTTGTATGGAGCAATGAGGGGAGGCAACGACAGGTACTGTGGAAAAACGTGAACATATTTATTCATCATTCAACTCATTTCTGTAAATATGTAAAAAAGGTGACTGAAAATAAGAATAACGGTCTCCATAATTTTGAATAAAAGCGAAAATAATTAGGGCCTAAAATTTAATTTTGTTGCATAGAACAGTCAAAGTATCTCACTGTTCTTTGTTCATCGTTTTCTCGAACATGAAAGTTGTGCTCGAATATGGCATACATGATCCTTCCAATTCCAAACGATGGCTCAATGACGGAGGGTACAAATTCTTCCACTGCATTAATTCAACAGTAAAAAGAATTGTGAATATACTGCCAACAAAAGGAATATTTATTGAATGACTCTGCTTTTATTATTTGCTATTATATTAAAACATTTAAGCCTAGCATCTCAAAACAAACCATGAAACTTCTTTACATATTTCTTTACATCCAATACATTCTTTTCCAACTTGAATTCTTTCTTTTCAACATAAACATTATGGAAACTGTTGAATACCGGAAGATGATTTTTTATATATCAAATAAATGAAAATGCTTTTAAAATAAAAAGATGAATTCAAACAAACCCCTGGCTTGAAAGATCTTCTTCCAGTTTCTTGACTTGTTCATTTGAGTAGGAAGCCAATTCATCTAATATCAATTTGGCATCGTGTTTAAATTGTTTGCCCAGTGCACCTTTGTTAGGCACCACTTCACAAACTTCTTTTTCCACCTTTAGCAAGCACAATAAAAAAACGATAGTCTAAAATAACAATGCCAGAGCAGCATCTGAAATTATCAGCAAATAATCATCAATCTAGACTCATTTCCTCATTGCTACCAACAACCACACAGTCCAAACTATGAATGCCAAAATCATCAATGACTCCAACTTGGTTGAACTTCTTACCGGTTCAGCAAGCTTTTTCTCAGCAACCAACTTGACGCCAGTGGCTTTTGTGTGTTGTTTCAAATCGTAGCAGGACCTGTCAGCATTGCCAACACATTCAACCCATCCCTGAATTCAATTCATCACAAATATTCGTTAACAACAGCTTTCACAACAAGCAAAATCCACACAAGGACAGAAAGAATAACTGAATAATTAAAATCATAACATAAGTGTTAAGAAAACTTTTGTGATCTTAATGAAAAATGTTACCCAAGCATTCGACAAGAAAATGTTTATTTGTAAACTTGAGATAAAAAGGCATTTTAATATTGTAATAAAGCAACATTTTCATCAAAATTATATTTCAACATGCATAACTGTGGATAAAATATAATATTTATAATTGCTAAAAGATAAGCCATTGAGAAAGAAGACATTACGTCATAATATAGACTCACATATGACGTTTTGCACTCAGCATCCCAGCAGTCGCATGCGTAATGTGCCATCTCGTTTGGCATGTGCTGTCTGAACCTCAACTTACTCTTGTTGACGCCAACACGAACCAGGAAGAGGAAAACACGAGCCAGGAAGTAACCCAATGTCTCGTTGGCAACCAGCCCCTGGTTGGCAAACGTGGAATCATGAAATATGAAGGTCATTTAATCTGTTATATCAAACATGATATTTAATCCAACATGAAGTAATCAATTGTAAATTGTAAGACAACCAAAAAATAGCATATATATATATATATATTATAAAAAATTAGATAGAAAAAAACACAACAGTTTGTTGTTTAAGGTTTGTAAAACACAGGCAAAATATTTTACACAAACTTCTAAATTCACCTATGAAAACGATGCAAAATGGAAGAAAAATTTTTGTAAGCTCAACTTAAAACTGGAAATAATAAATTAAAAAAAAATTCAACAATCAACAAGAATCATTAAAACCTTTTTAACGGCCTCTCCAATAGGAAGAACTTCAGGCAGAAGACCATTCATTTGGTTGTGTGACGAGTAGAAGGTCATCTCAACGTCCTTCACTGATTCAAACTTTGGATGAGATTTGTCATTGGGGTCACAGAAGTGCTCTATTTCAGCCATTGTAAATTCCCTGTAGACAATTATGACGTCATTACACTAAATGATTCAGTCATGCAACACTCTCAGACTAGATAGCAAACCAGTAACCATTTCAATTTGTATCATGAAAATCCGATGATCACAACTCTGGCAGGTTGGCTCAACAATGGAGACCTCATGTCTTATATTTGTATGTATAATGAACGCTGCATTGTGTAAAAATCAACAACAATCGAGCACCTTATGTGTATACAATACAATGCAGTGTTTGTATGGGCGTGTGTTCAAGAAGTGTGGTTTGGTTTGGAGTTTGTGGTACAAACTTCTAATCTGAAGCAAGTTATGTGAGAAATGGTTTGTAAGTAACTTAATGTTTGTTGGAGCTGAAAAGTAAAAAACAGAATGAGAGCAAATTCATGTTTCAAATCAAACAAACCTCACTCTGATGAGACCTGATCTAGGAGAGATTTCATTTCTGAATGCACATCCAATCTGGGCGCTGGCAAACGGGAGACGACCTGTAAAACAGAATTATGATTGCTAAATGTAAATTTTAATCAATGTAGCTTCAATTATTATTGATGGTGTTATAATTCAATTTCCTTACAAAAGCATTAATATATAAACATGTTCACTATTTCATAAAATCATACATAAACATTGAAAAATTTGAAAATATACAACAAACAAGAAAAACAATTGAACATTTACAACATGCGAACAAAATACAAACCTTGATTGAATTCAAGCAACCTTTTGAAGTTAACAAAAATTCCTTGAGCTGTCTCAGGCCTTAAATATCTGAAACAATTTTATATATATCTGGGTCATTCTACAGAAATGGTGATATTTCGACTATTATAATTTTAGATTTTATTTTTTATGAAGGTATTTATCCAAAAAATCCATGTCCCAATTACAAATATTTAGATTAAAGGAAGGTTTTATATATAGCAAAAACAAGAGATATGTGAAACTTTTCAGATTATTTGGCTGCTAGGTTATATTGTGAAGATAAAATTAAAATTTATTTATTTTTAAAAAATAAAATTTATATACATTTTCAATTGAATTTCATGTCCTTGAAATTTTGGTCAGTGCTGTTACTTTGCATGATTATAACGACGACGATGTAATTATAAAAAACGAGTCCATTTGATTTCATTTGATGTCACGTGACTTTGTTGATATATATCCTTTTTCGCCCCCCAAAAGAGTTGATTTTAGCCGGAAGTGGTGTTGGGACTCCCAATATCTATAAAGTGCTTCCACATGGCTTGCAATTTGACGTTGCGAATCAACTAAGTCCTATTCCTGGCCTCCAAGTGGCGGGGTGTGGGTAATGCTAACAGGAGAAGGCGAAAGACGAATAACCAGCGCCTTAAAACTGGTGTTCTGTTGGTTCCGGAGTGAGGATGTCTGTCAGTTTTGTAAACAATCCATCTAGGAGAAGGTGAAACTCTGATTTGAAACCATAGTACCATCAGTTGTGCTATAGGGACGGTCATACTACACTACAGTTCCGCCCAAACTGATGCGTCCACATGGTTGGTCATCACGTCTCAACCTGTTGTGCCTGATGAGGTCGACTTTGTGGAGGAGAAAGTGTCGCATGCCTCACAAACATGTTCCACTTTAAACGATTCATTGTGAAAGTTGTCATTGGTGGTTGTCATTGTGAGGGCAAAGTCCTACGGCAGGTGGCTTCTGGAAAGGCGCCGGGTCCGGATGGTATCTCCCAGAGCTGTTCAAATGCGGTGGACCGGACCTTAGGATCAGGATGATGACATTGTTTTGTCAGATGCGAAAAAGACAGACAGTCCATCAGGATTTTAAAAACGCTCTCATTGTCCATTTGTTTAAAAGAAAGGGCGATTGTTCGCGTTGTGATGACCATAGGGGGATTTCCTTGCTCTCAATTCCCGGCAAAATACTGACTCGAGTTATTGTCAATCGTCTGACTAAGCACGTCAATGATATTGGTATCCTTCCGGAGGGTCAATATGGTTTCTTTGAGCGGTATGAAATTAATCAAACTGTATAACAGTCTATATAGTTTGATGAAAAACGTGATTTACTTGCTGAATACCACAAAAATTTATTGTGTTTTTCAAAACCCTTCCAACAGTCATCAATTTATTAAGATATTGTCAGTGCTATTAAATTTAAAGTTGACACAGTCATTGAAACTCATGAAAGCAAACACAAGAAGAACTACCAACTCAAATTATTACAATTATAGTATGTATAAAATATAATTTAGAAATTACATTCACTTACAACTAACTGTCGGGAAGGCTAAACATTTGTACAAAACTAATAAACCTGATAGGCGTACACATTAAAATTGCTACTAAAATTTAAAGTGGTTTCATAAAAATAAGGTTTGCAAAACAATGAATAATAAAATCTGTAGAGTTAAAAACAGCGGCACGGCCAAAGCAAAAAAGATTCAGATGAAAGAGCTAAAATTGATTGAAAGCAAGTTGAATCCATCATAGTTGATGTAGATACTCTGATGATTTTATTACCTATTATATTAAGCAGATATTGCTCAACATTAAATTCCTGCTTATTCACATACTCTCATTTTAAAAGCAAAACTTGAAGAGAAAAACGAACCCTTTGATAAGTCCAGAAGGTCCAATGCTAGTACTGAACATGAGATTGAACTGATGGGGTTCTGTGAGGTCATTGTTGCTGACTGGAGATTTCATGTTGTACTTCTTCAAAGTTGATGCCATGTCATCTTTGCTGAACCCATCAATCTGCATTTTAATGGTGATTACTATGATTTCTATTGTAAAATTTAATGAAGCAAGTGTGCCGGCGTATTACAAAGTAAGAATTATGCTTAGCAGATCTTATCATCAAACCTTGGGTAAGAGCTCTTTAATTTCATTTTTCAACTCCAAGCTGGTATTTTTATCAGCTAACAATTTTTCAAAATGAGCTGTAAAAATTTTATATATTAAAAAATAAATTTCCAGAAATTATTGGGACTTTTCACCATTATCAAAGTCATCATAAAAATTTTTTCAGTCTCGATTCAGTAGCGAATAGTAGTCACCATCATTGGAACTAAACCTTCAATAAGATGATCAGCTCTGAAGCATTCCCCAGTCTTCACATCTTTCACCATGAAATCAGCAAACCTATCAACATGACCTGACGCCCTGTTATTAGGTTTTTTAAATTATTTAGACTATTTTTAGAATTATTCTATTTATCAATCGACTTTCTGTGGCTACTTAGCTCTGGTGAAATTATGACAAATTATGCATATTTGTACAAATAGTTTTACAATTGGCATAATATTGCTGAAGAAAATAATAAGACTGGATCATAATTCTAAAATGAAAAACTAAAATATGATATCTCTCTAAAAAGTTAAATATGTGTTTATCATTTTTGCTTTGAGCTAACTGCTAAACTAACATACACATACAAACAAACATATGAAGCAAAAAAAGAATATTATTGATAAAGAGCATAAGATGATAGACTTGAGGACAGGTTCAGGCGTCAACATGGAAGTATCAATTTCAAGCATTTGTTCCTCCAAGATGAAGAAATTCCTCCATGCATTAAGCAAATTTGCTTTCATAGCACACCCCATGGGACCAAAGTCATACAGACCAGTGACACCACCATAGATGGAAAAAGCCTGATCATAAAAAAATCTTTGCTTTAAAAGGTCTTCTAGTTTGGCACGATCTATTTCATCACCATCCTCTAATTTTGACAAGTCCAGGAGCTTTAAGTGCAATAATTTTTAATAAATAATCTTTTTAATAAAACTACAAATGAGAAAAACTATTCCATTTCAAATAAAAATTTAAAAAAATATGATCAAAAACAGTAATAAATTCTTCAAACAATAATACAACAAACCTTGTCTTCCAGCACTTTTTTTGCAGCCTTCAACTCAACCAAAGCTTTCTTGACATCATTTTCTGGAGCTCCTTCTTCTTTCAACTTTCTCACTAAATCTCCCTATTTTGTAAATTTAATTAAAAATATGCAGTATAATTAATTTTAATCAATTTAATTTTTAATGAAAATTAAATGTCAAACAATTTAAAAACTAAACCATTAAAATTAAAATTATCTTATAATAAATAAAAAAATTTAATATAACAGAATTAAACTTTAATTTGTTTTTCATCATTGCCAATTTGAATTTTATTTTTTAACTTAACAACCTTCTCTTTGACAAGAGCTTGCAGTGGAAGCAGTTCATCCTGGTGTTTGTGTTCAGCCATCACTTCTCGCGATTTCTTCAACAAACGTTGCCTTATTTTTTTACTGAACTTCAGACAGAAAAGAACTGATGACGAGTGCAAGAGCCTGGACGGTATCTCCTTGACGTTGTAACAAGAATGATGACTACCAATAGAAGTACTGCGAATGAGCGATAATTGATTTGTGGAAGCAGTCGGCAGAACTTTCCTGAGCAGACAATGATCAAAAGTTCGAAGAAATGGGAGAAATTTCATGGATCGGTCCAACAAACATTTGAGCTTAAAACATCTCCACTCGGTCGGAGAGACGAGAACGAGACCAGGCTGGCGCACAACCTACGTGTGATTATGATGAAATAGGGCAAAGAAAGATGCAAGATTAAAAGGGGATTCAGGTGTGAAAGAAGGACTGTCAAATTATAATGACGGGTGGCCTGAGAAGTCTAATTATTTCAATTAGACGCTTCACTGGAACCACAGCGCTGACGTCCTTAGGTACATTTCGGCACATTGCATAACAGATTGTCTATTATTTGTTTGTACGATTGGTGTAAGTTGTGATAATTGATTTGACTGTGAGCAAGTGTGTAGCGATGAGATTTGGTCACAAGGGTCTTGATGATGAGTAAATATATAAAAAGTAAAAATTTAAGTTTTTATTATACTGAATTGAGTTGAATGGTTTGATTTGCAGATTTTAATCCAAAGTTCTTCAAGTTTTTTTAACATGAACACTTTGTAGTAAATAATCGTTTCAATCTTCTTAGTTTAATATATTAAACGCTAAAAATTTAATCTAAAAATTTATGTTAATTGTGTAATCCTTGATGAAATAAAAGCTAAGATAGGATATTCAATTGTGATTTTCATAGAAATAGAAAAGTTGGAAGACTTTGAAAATGTGTTACATAGATGGTTTGTGAATGCAAAGGATCCTGCTACACGGATCGCTTAAAGTTAAATTTTTTAAGAATTTAATGTGATTTGATGGTGCTCTACTAATCGCCACTGACAGTACCTCACATACAAAAAATGCCTGCCAATTGTTAATTAAGGGCGGCATGAGGGCCTAGTGGTTAAGGTCGCCTGGTGCTGTTGTGTTGTTTTGAAGTAACCGGGTTCGAATATGACAAAAAGGTCTTTGCCTATCACACGCTTCGTGCATGATGCGTCGTTTAGCACGTATTCATGGGTACGAATAGTACGAATTAGTACGAATGCAGGGTTTACATATACTTAAAAGAATACTACCAGTATTAACGTCAATAGAAAATGGTTCTGATGTAAGAAGATATTTATTAGGTTCTTGGTGGCAGGAGTTTGAATCTAAATCAAAATATATTATAAAGTTGAATGTTATACACACATACATACACACACACACAAAATTGCTATCATGATATAGTATTCAAACGTTTGAAAAGTCTCAATCCAAATTATTTATCTGAAAAGTGGTTACGTAAAATTAATCCTGTTCAACGTTTTTAGTTACGCTCAGATGATCAAGATTTTTGATAGTGCCAAAAACAATTGGTTGTAGGAGCCAGAAACTTTGCCGTTGTCGGCCCACAACTTGTGGCAGTCGGCCCAACGGTGTAACAGTGTGGAACAACTTACCACACAGCCTGCACCAACCGGGTTTGTAACTTACAGCAGTTTAAAAGTTAAAACTCATTTCTTTTCTATATGACTCAAGATGCGCTTTTGAGTAGTGTTAAAGGGTACCGTATAAATTCTCCTATAAATAATAATAAAATAAATATTTTTATTAATATTATTGCAATTATAATATATATATATATATATATATATATATTTATGTATGTGTGCGTGTATGTATGTATTTGTGTGTGTACATGAACATACATATTTATACACACATGCCATGTGTTTTATATAACATTAAACAAATTCATAGAGTATGCATTCTTCACGTGCTACATGAATTGGATGTGTGCACTGTGTGCATAGGCCTGAAACACTCATTATAATGTAATGTAATGGTTTAATGATGGATGAAACATCGAAATGATGGTGGGATGGATGCGAATGTTGTTCTCTGCTAGTCTGTGAAAGTTCTTCATACGAATTTGTATAACACGTCCTGTGCCGCATGCGTCGCTGGAGGGGAAACCCGTACAAAAACAAATCGGCTATAAATGTATGAAGAACAATTATCTTCTGTCGAAATTTAGTATTTTTATTACAACTGTATATTGCTGTATAGATATAACTTAATGAAGGAGTTAATATTAATAAATAATAGCTAATTTATTAATAAAGAAGCAAATTAACAAATGAACAATATATAAACAACCAATTAATTATAAAAATTATATAATACACACACACCACACACACACACACACACACACACACACACACACACACACACACACGCACACACACACACGCACACACACACACGCACACGCACACACACACACACAAACACAAACACACACACACAAACACACACGTGCTCAACCTTACAAATGCGAACAAACATTGAACACTGATTTGCTTGCGTGCACAGATGTGCAAGCACTCGTACCCACGTTTGTATTATACATACATTCCTTTACGGACGTACAAACAAAATCTTACAGGACAATGAGCAAATTACCTCCTCAAGACCAATTATAATCAACTGTTTGCATTTGTTGGCTCTTACTGCTCTCCATTCTATGGATTAATTTCTGCTAAATATTTAACGTGTTGATGTGAATTATGAAATCTAAAACGTAAAATAATTATTGAAGCTGCAAGTTTGTTAGTTGGATACATTGGCAGATCATGAAAGTTATCTTTATGTTTATATGTCTTCTTCTCCAGTGGCTCATCAGCTCAGTGGATTCTAAAGGGGGTTCATTTTGACTTTGTGACTTTTTTTGCACAACCCACAAAAACACCACACTCAAACACACACAAACTCACACACACACAAACATATGTACATGCTTATATTTATAAATGTAGTAAAAATAATAAACACAAGATAAAAATAAATAATAGCATTTGTGTGTCTGTGTTTGTCTGTGTTTGTTCGTGGGAATGTGTTCAGATAAATATTTTTTTACTTCAATCAATTTGTATTTTTAAATGATATTCGCAGGCAGTTGAAACTGATAATTTTTCAACTATCTAGCATTGTTACTGACCGTTAATTAGCGAGGTAGCAAGATGGGGAACGGCGAGTGTGTCGGTGGTTGATTTCAAATGTGGGAAGTTCTCCAGCTTATCGTGCGCACGCTTGCTTGCTGCGTGTTCCCCACGTACCGTATGCGCTATCTTTTTCGGTCGGTTAATTCTAAGACCTTCGACGCTACACGCACTGCCTTATATAAATAGCATTTGAATGTTTTTTTATTATGGTTAAGTTGAAATATAAATAACATTTTATTGTTATTAAATTGATTTTGAGGTGGCGCCAAGATCAGGCCGTCGTCATCTCGAGGCAAGCAGAACAAGCAAAACTCTCCGAAGGTCTTGAAATACTCCTCCAGCAGCAAAAGTACCGATGCTCTCAGACAAATAAGTCGCTGTCTACTTGCTTGCTTGTTTTGTTTCACTTTAATATTTCATGTAGATATAGCATGTACTGTACATGAACATGACTGTGGAAATCTTTTGCTGTTGAAATCATGATTTCCGGAGATTATGTATTTAAGCAGTGTTGATTTTTTATCATGAAAAATATGAGTGAAAGAGTACAACTGTAAAATTTATTCTAACAATTTTTGTACATTTTGCAAAATTTGCAAATTTGGCTGTTGAAGTCGGCTCAGGAAGACTTCAAATGAAAACCTTTACTTTGACTTTGTAACAAAACTTTCTGCCTAAACTATGGAATGCGTCCTCATTTGTGTCTCTTGATTGAAATTTTTATGATTTGGTGCCCTATACAAAAAATAACAATTTGTAGGATTTCTATAGTGTTTCGTAAGATTTCAAAGAGAGTTAACTCAGTTTTTAATTAAGAATTGTTATTTATTATGAGCGCGCCTAGTTTCGTTTTGTTGTTCAAAAAATCTTAAAGATTTTGATACAACATTTTTTTGTATGCGAGTACTTGCAAATTCATCTCTCTTGAAATGGCAGTCCCGGCAAGTACCCAGACTTGCCCGCCCTCGCTACGCCTCTCTATTTCTATAGGCCCGTTTAAATCAAACTCAATGTTCTTACATGTTCTTACATGTTCTTACATTGCATTGTCCATTCAGCCATTCATTTTTTGCAAGTTTTTCAATTTGATTTGATTGATCCCTTAGTTGTCACAAGTCCAATGTTTCGAAGGTTTAAAAATTGTTCAACTAAAGGTATGAACTTCTTCTATTTAAATCCCACTGATTTGTACCGTTACTTTTTAAAACTCCGCCTTAAACTATTACATTTTTTCTAATTTCTCAACCAAGTTTTGTTTTCTTTGTTTTGTACGTGTAATTGTAATTTGTAATTGTAATTTGCCATTGTTAATATGATTTTAAATTTCTTTTAACGAGGTGAACTGAAAATGTAACCGGTCATTCATTTTCATATGTTTATTTGGAATTAATCATAATTGCTACAAAATATTTTTTATTCCATTGGCTATTTTAATATCCTGTCGTAAATTTACTCATCATCTTTTAAATTCAAACAAATAAAATTTAAATCCTAACTCATCAACATGATGATGCTACATGTTAGTACAACCGACGATATGTAAATGTAATTGACGAACATGGTGATTTTATATGCTTATGCAGAACATGATGGTGTTATATGCTAATGTAACTGATGATCAGCATGACGTCATGTGTTAATGCAACATCATGTTCACCACCGGTCTTACATTTCAAACGCTGATCATCACACACAGCCAAATATTTATTTCGGAACGCTTCGAACGAGGAGAAGCTGCTGGCCTACCTCTTTCACGACTACGAACCAATCGCCCGAGCTGTGGTCGACACGAACAAGACCGTCCAAGTAACCATCGACTTCGTACTTCTGAGAATTCATGGATTGGTGAGTGTGTCATTAATAAGGATTTTGCTAGTAATTACCGAATGATTATTGAGAATGCATACTTTTGTTTACAAGTGTTTAAATTATTTCGTGTCTCTGTTTGTGGTTTTACATTGATAGCATTTATTGAAATGCATACCAACATGTTGACAATCGCATGAGTTTGTGAAGAAACTGTGAATCTAGCGCTTTGTAATGTCAATGCAATTAGGTTTTAATTTTTCTATGAATAAAAAATAATCTGATAACGTGCATGAAGTTAGAGACATAATCTATGCGATGTTAATCTGATTTGTTCTTACTAGATTACGTGCTTGGTGTCGCAAGTGAGGGTTGTTTGAAGTTTACTACTCGCCACGTTTTCAGAATTTTTTTTAATTATTGAAGTTCTCTCTAACGGTTTTGTTATTTCTCCGTAATAAAAAGTTTTAAAAGTATTAATCTGTATTATTGGATGTGTATTTAATTGTTTATATATCCAAAATGATCATACATTCCATTAATATGTACTCAAGCAGCTTCAAACATTTTATTTTGAAGTTTTTATAAATGCCTATAAATCACATCTAATACCTACTTGAATCTAATGAAATTTGAACTAAATTACCAAAAACTCCACCCTAGCTTAAAGTAAATCAAATGATTAAATGTGATTCGTCATTCATTACCTCGTGCATTTGCATTCATCAACATTCAAAATTACCTCTTGTCAATAGCAGTAAAAAGTTATCAAAATTTGTTCTGTGGTGTTTCGCACATAATCATTTTTTAAATTTGTTTCAATGTTTTTAAAGTAGCTTACTACTTTTCAATTACTGCTCAAGTATTTCCTATCTTGGCTCGATGGATTATTTTGTTATATTGCTGGTTTCATTGAGGATGATTTCCTTTCCTCATATAAAAAAACCACCGAGTCTGATTGCAATTGTGTAGTTGACATTTACCAGCTGAATGTTGGTTAGTACTGAAGTAATTGTTAATGAACATTTCTTTGCACTGTTACAAATTGAAAGTTGACCATTTTGACCACCAACCTCAATTGTTAATTGCCCATAGTGAAAAAATTCTATTTATAATATTATAATAATTTCTTCCATTTTGCACTGCTATCATAGTTAAATATAGTGTTAACAGCGTTTTCAAAATTATGTCAAATTGTGTGTTCCACTTTATAAGATAGAGAAATGTTTAGAATGAAGGGCTGCTTTGCTAAAAACATTTCGAAGCAAGCATTTTGGTGTTGTTTTTACATTCAAGTTATGTTAGCGTTGGTACCATAAAACATTTTGTTACTAATCTTATCTGTAAAATTTGTGGAACATTCACATTGCGGCCCCTGCTAACGTTATTATACTGTAGATGTAGTTGCTCCCATGACTGCAGCCTGTCATGCAGTTTATTGTCAACCTTGCCAACAATCATTCTTCAACTCAATAACGCCTTTTATATTCAGATGTGTTCTACCTTTTATATCCAGACCATTGCGTTGAATTGGACGGCTGATCGTGCTTCGGTGGTTGCTTATTTTGTCGATAATGTAGCGGCCAATGATGTCTCGCTGGACGGCCGCCATGGCCGGAGACTGTTGTTCGTGTGTGCAGTACAACTATTCATGCTGATGTGTTTTTACTATTGTTGACGTTATTTATTCAATTTTTTTAATATTGTTGCAATAAATTTTATGTACTATTTTTGTTTTGTTGTTTTTATGTTGTTTTTATTTTTTTTGTTGTTTTTATGATTTGCGCTGTTTTTGTTGGTGTTGTTAATGTGTGGGATGTTTATTTGGGGCGGCTGTTGTACGTGGCGTTCTTCAAGATTATTTTTCATTTCTATGCCAACCACGTGATCTGGCCACCATTTATTTTAATACTTTTTCACTTTTTGTAAAATTCAATTTTAAATAAAAAACCCTAGAATTTTGTTGTCATGTTTTGTTTATAACGACTTATGTGTGCCTTACTCTCTGTTATTGTTTCGTGAACCACTAAACATTTTTGCATTTTAGAACTTCGATGTTTGCTCTAATTCAACTTTTTTCAATCATCTATTTTAAATTATTTTATTGAAACTTGTGAATTTGTAAAATTTCTTGTTTCCTCCGCAATTTACTCAACGTATTTGAGACGTATTATTATTATCAATCAGCAGTTTAGTTGTTTTCAGTCTTTGATTTCTCAACGTTTCCGTGAGTATCTTGCTGGTCAACTATTTAATTAAAAGTTAACTTTTCCCAAGAAACCTAACCAGCCAATTGCATTTTTTCGTCTACTGGTTGCAAATTCAATTAAGTTCGAGCACACAAGTTCAGTCCACTTGCAAAAGTTTAGTGCCATTTAAAAGTTTCCGTTGAAGTTTTTTGCCTTCAAAATCGAGAAAATGATTTAAATTTCTAACAATGTAATTTAAAGTTGCATGTGGTTTATCCGACTGTTTGTTACCTGCTCTTATCCTGTCTTTATCTTGCCATCTCATGTTTGCAACGAGTTTTTTAAAGCCAGTTCCAAGTTTGTAAGCGCAAAAATTTTGAAATATTTAAAATTGGCATGGTTCGAAGAACTTATTTTTTGAGAAATTTTTTTGTAAAAACGGATTTACGTACGTAAAGTAGTGCAAAATAATGCAAACTTTGAAATTAGTAAAACTCTGAAGTTTTAAAATAGCAAATTACAGTTGAGCTAAGATTTTATGCAAAATATTCAGCAAATAGTTTTTGTAATTATTTTAAAATTTGCAGAACATTTACTAATTTTTTTTTATAAGCTGCTGGAGGCAAATATTTGGGTTTTGTGAGCCAAATTTTGTAGAACGAGGAGTGATTTATCCAATTGTGTTTCAATATCCATCTCGGACACTGCTCGGTTGGTTGTTTGATTCAAGATTAGTTTTTGGGATAAGAAAATATCCAAGCCTGTTTTTTTCAAACTTAACTTGGGTCTGATACCTTTTTGTAACTAATTCTCAATACTCTTGAAATCAATCAGTTTGTTTCCCTACGTACCCAAGGGTCAATATTGCTTGGTCGACATTCTGTTTCTGTACCGTATGCTAAGATTGAATCATGATTGTGTTTGTATTTTATTTTTGGTCTTTAGTTTCAATGTTGGCTGATATTTGGTGAAATTGTGAAATTAAAACAAAAGTTATCTTTTGACAGCAATGAACGTTACATTATAAAAAATATACCAAACTTAACAGTGATAACTAATGATAAAATTACTGATAAGAAGAAATTTTTATTTGAAGTTTTTTTTCACATTTTCCGCAGAATTATATACCCATCAAATTTGTTTACAAAGGTCTGTTTGGAGTTATTTAATTGAACGTTGTGCCATGTTATGACAAAATACAACATTAAAATATTCCGATAACATATTCTTGTTGCGAAAAAAACCCTTAAAAGAAAATAAAAAGCTCAATGAACTGAACGTTAATACATATGATCGGAGCATTATGATAGCACGAGCAGCTCTATAACATTAAAACGCCCGTAAACATGCAAATTCATTTTCACACTTGCAGATGTGCGAGCTCGTTCAGACATAAAACATGCAAGATGCACGTCACAATTTCTTGATTTCTCCGTATTTTAAATTACTTTCTAATAAATTAAAACGTTTGGATGTTGGTTTAAGTTTCAAAATTTGATTTCACAGTTCTTTTGATTGTCAAACTTCAAATGAAACGTAAGTTCTACTTGTGAATAGATAAAAAATTGGTGAAGATATGGAAAAGGAGAATGAACGAGCTTCTACCAAACAGTTTTTTACGGCGTCGTACGTCAATTTGGTTGGACGCTGGTTGCCTGCATTTCATGTTTGTTTTTGTACATGACGGTCATATAAAAACCTAGCGATGTACAATCAGATTCAGCTACATTTCTATGGAGAGGCTTTCTATCAAACTATTTTTTTTACAATCTTTTAAAATATGAATGATTGTAACGGTCTTGTTTCATTATGTTAATTTGTTGTTATTAACAAAGTGTTTTTTATATCAAAATTTATTTTAAGGGAAGAACGAAATTTTAAAAATTACTTGTTGTAATACACTATATTCTCAAGCCATAAAATTCATCAATACGAATAATTTTTTCACATAAGTAGGATTAATTAATTTTTTCTGCACTTAAAAAATTACTCCCTGTCAATCCGCGTACATCATACGTCTCATTTTTCCATTCAGCGTTCATTAATTAGTTGGATTATTCAAGCATTTTTAAAATTTGTTTCCATTGATCTAATTAGTCGAAATATATTGAATATCATATTATAATTAATTAGTAAATAATTTGTAATTATATCACAATAGTTGCTAATTGTAATAAGACCATTCACATCTTTGATCGTTCGTTTGTTCGGCCGTTCGTTTGTTTGTTCGCCCGTTCATTCATTTGTTCCATGGTTGCTTGTTTGTTCAACCATTCATTTATTTATCCGTCTTATCTTATTTGCTTTTATACTTGGTCTGTTCATTTCTCCATTTAGTCGTCCATTCATTTTTCGCTCATCATCTTGATCGTTTGTTCGACGGTTCGTCATTCTTTCATCCTTTCCTTCTTTCATCTGTTTTTTATTTAGTCATTGACCAATCATTTCTTTTCGAACTAATTTCAGAATTTTAGTTGAAAATTTTAAATTTTTTTATCAGCCAGTCCGAATTTTTAAGGCTGTAAATGAATGAACTTTTAACACGGGGAACTGATGCTTCAAAACGTCTGCTAGAACAAATTGATTGAAATGAATGCAACACGGACCGACATTACAGAAAAACAAGAAAAATTGATTGCTGCAAGTTCAGCCAACCTGTGCACCTCACGTTCAACTGCGTGCTGTCAATGCCAGTTGCTAATCGTTTTGTAATAATTAAGAATTTAAAACATGGCGATGTTGTATATACATCAAAAGGTGAACGGAATAAAAAAGTTACACTTTAAAATTTTTGTTCACACTCAAGAACTTTATCTAATGTATAATTAAATGTTGGCGTTTTATTCAATTGAAAAAGTTACCAATGGATCAAAATGATTATATTATAATAAATTAATATTAATTATTTACGTTTGTGTTGGTATTGTTTTTTTTGATATTTTAGTATTTTTTCTTTTCTTTCCCTAAAGAGTTTTCTGTCTTTGCAAGGATGTTCATAGAAAATGGCTCCTCGATCAACAAACATAAATTGTCTTATCTATCTTTTCGGCTTATTTGTTTTGTTGTTCTGCTCGATATTAATGCTTCATCGTCCTCTATAACTTCTTGTTTGAAAGTTGTTTAGCTACTATTAAAATATTTGCTCCAATGAACTTGTAATGTTTCGTGCGAAGTTCTTGAAGTTTTGTTATGGATCACAGCCAGTCTGAAGAGAGTTTTAATCCTTTATTTTTATCGCTAGTTGGTTAAATTTTTTGTTGGCATGTTATCATCCCACATGAGTTTTGCTGTTTTTTTTAAAGTGTTATATGTAAGAAATCTTTTAATAATGTGTTGGATATTGGCAATAACGTTACTTACTTACGGCACCCAAACAACACATACGCTTGCAAACAAACCATGAGATATTGATTTATTCCGTCCTACAGACACGCTCATAAACAAAATGACACATAAATAACACACATACAAACACACACAAGTCCTCCGTGCACTGTCTCCATGCTATCTTAACGTTCGCACGAGTGGGCTGTGCTTGTCTGCTACTGAATAAATAAATAAATAAAAATTATATAATTTGAAATTTTCCATATGAGTGTTTTTGTTTCGATTACTATTTTGTTGCCATTTACTTTGCGTTTGCGCAGCGTTTAATAAAAATGCACACCAAATGCACACCAAATAGGATTTCACATTTATCCACAGTTTTTTAATTTATATGAATTCTAATTCATACGGATAAATTAAAATCAGATGATTAATTAACAATTTTTGTCATTTTTATTGTTTTTGAAAGAAGAATTATTTTCATTATCATAACAAATGAAGCTTGATGTGATGGGCGATTTTCTTTCACGAAGGTTTCATTGTTACTCTCATCTGCAAATAGCATTACACACAGGCACTTTCAATCAATTCACTTCCTTCAAAGTCTTGCATCCCGAAGCAGTATGGATGTTGCTGCAAATCTTTGAAGCAATATGGATGTTGTTGTATATCTTTGAAGTAGTATGGATGTTGTTGTATATCTTTGAAGCAGTATGGATGTTGCTGCAAATCTTTGAAGCAATATGGATGTTGTTGTATATTTTTGAAGCAGTATGGATGTTGCTGCAAATCTTTGAAGCAATATGGATGTTGTTGTACATCTTTGAAGCAGTATGGATGTTGCTGCAAATCTTTGAAGCAGTATGGATGTTGTTGTATATCTTTGAAGCAGTATGGATGTTGTTTATAAGCTTTTTAACTAAAAATAGTGTTTCAAAAAATTGTTTTTGTGAGATAGGCGCTTCTTTGCTAGGATGAAAGTGATATATTGTCTAATTCAATTTTAAACCGATCTGTTGTAAAAACGTCGTTTTGCAAAAATTAAAGTAATAAATTTTTATAAAATGTTTTTAATATTAAATTTGAAAAACACTTATGTCATTTTAAATAAATTGTATGGTTAGCATTTTCAACACGCTTTTCAAAAAAATTCTCAAAAACGCTATTAGAATCATTAACAAAGAAATTGATGTTGTGCATTGAAACGTCATCTTATTTTTTTACAGACAATTTTGGATTTAAATCAACTCTTAATTGCTGTTGTTTTTGAATGTCTAATCTCTAACTGAAACAAATCCAGGTGACGAACTTCTCATTGTAGTTACATCAGAACATAAACTGTCGATAAATAATGGAGATGTGGCAGGTAGGCTGGCTGACGTCAGGTTGTGCTTCATTCGCGCAGGCAAACACGACAGACGTAACCAACTTCAGATGATCAGTTATTCCACTCGCAAGACGCTCAGTCACGTTGCTAACTTGAAACATTTTTCTGCGTTAAAGGGTTTTACTCGCAGTTATTTTTGCATTGCTACAGTTGCAACGAACCAGCAATTGAGTTTTTTCTACTTTGGTACTTTGGGCAACACACCTTCCAAAAGTTTATTTTTAACCATCAATACAATTATTATTAACATTATTGCCATTGTAAATTATAGGCTTCAACGCATTGTATAGATTAGCATTAAGAGCATTAGCTTCAATTTTAATGCTAACCTTTCACATTCGTGGCTTGTACTAACAGCCGTTGTATATTATTTTGAATATCTCAGCATGCTAGCCTGCTAACAAGTCATGTACATTTCTTTGCACATTCCACAACACAACGTACCATTTCCTTAAACTTGCCCTCCAAAGACAATATAGGCTTTGATAATTTTTTCAAGACTCGCCGTAACAGGCATGCGAAACTGTTCGACAGTCTTTAAGAAAAACTTTCCAGTCGATATTTACATGCTCAGCTACTTTTTATATTTCGTCAGAACTGTGATGCACGAATTTTGAAAATTCAAAAAGAAAATTTCAGCTTGCTGAAATTAAATTTTTTTACTTCAGTTATAACATTATTTAACATTATTTTAATTAAAAAACTCTTGAAATTAGACAAAAAACTCACTAGTTCTTTCAGAACTAAGTTGTTTGCAACGAAAACAGCAATACTCACACGCATTATAAAACAAATTCCATGCATAACCATTTAATGATTGTTCCATAGTAGTAGCTATAAATACAACAACAAAAACAACAGAAGCCGTTGAAGAGTGCCAGCAAATAAAACAAAAGCGCGCGTGTAGCAAATACGAAATGGCAATCACGGTTAACAAAACATTAATTGAATCCACGCTTTTGATAAATGGAGCAAGAAAGAATGTTTTTATTCTGTAGCGTCGGTTCCTTCATGCTCTTAATCACGAGAAAAAAATTTTCATGAAACATTTGTTATGAGAGTTTTTTTTACATTTAGTTGTGGAAACAACGTGTTCTCATTAATTTATTTAATAAATCATTACATTCCTGTTTAATTGTTACAAAACTTATAAAAGTTTAGAAATGCGCAAATTGAAATATTTCAAGAGGCATTGTCCCACTATTTCTGTCAGAAAATAATTTATTTCCATTTTTAGCTGAAACGTCATCAAGCAGAGCAAATAGTTTTGAAAACTTTATATAGTTAGATATTATTTCATTTGAATAAGACCTGAAATTAAACCGAATGATGGCGTTCATTAGTTTTAAGTAAAAAAAGCATAAAGGCATCCATTGGATGCACTGTTGTATAGATTACTTTTGGAAAGTAATCTGATTACTAATTACAAATTACTTTTAAAATTAGCCTGAGATTACAAATTACAGATTTTTTTTGCAATGATGTGTCCGATTACAGATTACAGATTACATCATCAAACTTTTTGAAATTACAGATTACATCATAAAAATTTTATTTGATGAATGTCACATAGTCTTATGAATTATTGAATTATTAAATTGTAATTATTCATTGAATAATTTAAAAAATTGTATTTTTTTGAAATTTCTTAAAAATTTCAAACAAGTTTGAACCAGAAGCGACTTAGCTTATCCTGCTTCATAACGTTCTTGAGCAGACCAACTTTTTAACATTACGTGAGTGGTCTAACTAAAAAGCATACGACGTCAATGGATAAACTATTTCTTTTTGAATAAGTCATTTTTTTAGTTTTTTAACTTTAAATTTTAAAAATCTTAAGTATTTTAAAAAATGTATTGTTGTTGTTGATTAAAGTAATCTAAAACAAAGTAATCGTGACACCTGATTACAGATTATGCAAAAAATGTAATTTGATTACAGATTACTTTTATAAATGATGTAAATGATGCGATTACAGATTATAGATTCAAAAAAATGTAATCGATTACGTAATCGGATTACTTGTAATCCGATTACTATACAACACAGTATATATATTATATATATATATATATATATATATATATATATATTATATATATTATATATATACATATATATATATATAGAGTGCCTCTACTCTACTTTGTTGATTCCTTGTTTGTTTAAAGTGAATACTTAATTTTACAATCTTCAACATCGTTAATTATAACACCTTTATGTGTTTTCATTATCGATGATTCCTCCGTTTATAAATTTATTGGTAGGAAGAATTCCAATTGCCCGTTTTTGAATATTTTTTATCGGATGTCTTAGTTCTATGAGTATTGATTCGGCTAGTCGTAAATTATAATGGTTGTTATTGTAATGTAAGATTTCAACATTGTGGTCCAAGATTTGTCTAGTAATTTTAGTTTTGTGTTTCTCTTTCATGTGATTCTTTATAGCGCCAGTTTGTACACAAATGACGCGCTGTTATACAAATTCATTGGTCGAAATTTAAAGTTGGTATGAAAGGTTCACAAGTGTGAGACATTCACTCGGGCGATGAAACAATCCAGATAGCTCTTTTCCTTTCACACTTTTACGTGTTTTCATTTTTCTCTGTTTCTAAATTTGAAAAGGTGATGGAATGAAACGAGCATAACCAAGCAGCGTTAAAATAGTTTACTTGTGGTTTGCAGATAGAATTATATTGAATAATCATACTATTTCTAGATGAAAAGAATTTTATTTTATTTAACACGATTTTTGACTTGTTATTAAAAAGTTTGTATAAAAATGCTGAATAAGATTTCAGAAAGCGTGAACTGTTCAACAAATATTAATCAAGCTGCTTTTTAAAAGATTTTTTCAAAAGTTTAGGAAAAAGATTAGCACAAATCAGTGGCGGATCTAGGGGGGTCGTGGGTCGAAACATTAAAAATTTAGCCCCCCTCGTCAAAATTGTCTAGATTCGCCACTGGCACAAACTGAAAACAGTTTTTGAAGCGTTGGTTAAGCAAATGCAGGCACAACAAATGTGGAAATAGTATTAGCAGAAAAAACATTCGACAACTTACTGAATGTAATGTTTGAGACCAACAATAGTTGCGGCATAGTAGCAGTGCTGACCTAACGGGTGAGAGCTGGAAAATTATCAGAACCATTGCAAAATCAATAAAAAAATAACCAAAAGTGGTTACTTACTCAGATGATGTAACAAATGCAAAGATGGAATTGTAACGTCCAGTTATGCTTCGGAGGTTGATGAGGGCAGATTCGGGAAGATTCAATTAACAAAGCAACGAAAATTTTGAATAGAGTACAAAAACTGGATCATAAATTTACGGAGGAAGTCCAATATAATAGGAATGTTAACCAGAAAACTGGTTAGCGATCGTGAAATTTGCAGATGACATACTTAGGTTAGAGTTGCCGTTTAAGAATCAGTAAATTTTTTGAAAAAAAATGTTTTGAGATGTATCAAATATTTCACTATTTTTAGATGTTATTTAATTTTTTTTTTTATAAAAATATTAAAGTCATAAAGCTGATAATTATTTTAGATATATCACACACGAAAGTTAGTAACATGAACCACAGTATAATACAAATGTTTTTAATATAATTAACACTCAAAGTATTATTGTTATCATTTAATATGCCTCCGAAAATTCAACGTTCGGACGGCAGAAAGATTTCGCACACAAACCAGCGTGAAAGTTTATGTTTGTGTAAGAGTTTAAATGCGTCCATGCATAAACTTATATCGAAAGAATGGCCGAGCATAAAATTTGTGAGTTGATCGTAAAACTGCGGAATGTTTGAATGAAATGAAGGTATCTGAAAGTTAAGTTGTGTATTGTGGGGAAAGCATTTTTCATCTTTTAATATTCATTTCAAATGTTGATGTCAGCTGTTAGTTGGATATATGGATGTATTAAAAATAAAATATATTTCTTTTATTACCATTAATTTCTCAAGTGTACGAGCAATGAAGGATTGTGAATGTTGCGCGTGTGACAATCGCATGATGCCGCTGGAATGCAAATGGAAAACAAGAAAGAGAGGGTTGGTTGGCAGACGCTGGCTTGTACACAGAAGTTTGCATGTGTACGTGCATGTAACAAACAATGCAAGTTTGTGTTGTTAAAGATGTTTTTGCACACACAACATTTAACATGAACTGAACACTTCTATATAGGTTTTTAAAATAAATATTTATAACATCTTCTTTCTTTTTTCCTTTCTTTCTTTCTTTCTTTCTTTCTTTCTTTCTTTCTTTCTTTCCTTTTTTCTTCTTTCTTTCTTCTTTCTTTCTTTCTTCCTTTCTTTTTTTCTTTCTTTCTTTCTTTCATTCGGTAACAAACATGAAGTTTAAATAGACTAATTTGTGTTAGCATGAATGTGCGCGCGCAATTTGTGATGCAAAACTTTCCATCCATTTTTGTGCAGTGTAAAAAAGCGAGCGTGTCTTCTTGATTGATCTGCTTGTGCCATCTCGTGTTCACTTGCGTCTCCTCGGCCCCAGGCAATAATTC